TTGTTAGAGCTGTTTTTTGAAATTTGAGTACTGAAAATAAACGTATCCTCTGCATATAAACCTCATTATTATTTTCAAATCAATTTCTATCAAAAGCTAAATGAATTAGAGCTATTATCGCAAAAGTTTCTGTAAATTTAAAGATCTATCTTACAATACCTTCAACGTACTTTCTGCTCAAGCAAACGCGAACTCTCTGGCGTATTCATAGCCTAAGCATTTGGCATTTCGCAACCCTTTTACTACCATTTATACTAAATGATCTCACTAAGAAAATACGCCAGAAAACATGCGTCTGCTCAAGCAAAAACTATAGACCAAATTTGACATGGGATTCACCACAAATCCTACTTTTTATTGCTTTATTGCTTTTTATTTTATTTTCACATAGTTTCATCTTCATTTTCACACAATTTCATCTCCATTTTCATACAATTTCATCTCCATTTTCATACAATTTCATCTCCATTTTCACACAGGTGAATGTATTCAAGAACTTCTTTCATAATGCTTATTTTTTACGTAACTTTTCTATAGATTTACTTAAGATTGTCAACTTTTCATATCCACCTCTACTTTTCTTCTTTTTCAACTCTAATCCAAATCCATCTAAATCCAATCAATGTTTTCCTGATTTTCACATCAAACAAACAAACAACCAGCCAACCAACCAACCAACCAAACAAACAAACAAACAAACAACCAACCAACCAACCAACCAAACAAACAAACAACCAACCAACCAAACAAACAACCAAACAACCAAACAACCAACCAACCAACCAACCAAACAAACATACAACCAACCAACCAAACAAACAACCAAACAACCAAACAAACAACCAACCAACCAAACAAACAACCAAACAACCAAACAACCAAACAACCAACCAACCAAACAAACAAACAAACAACCAACCAACCAAACAACCAACCAACCAACCAAACAACCAACCAACCAACCAACCAAACAAACAAACAAACAACCAACCAACCAAACAACCAACCAACCAACCAACCAAACAAACAAACAAACAACCAACCAACCAAACAACCAACCAACCAACCAACCAAACAAACAAACAAACAACCAACCAACCAAACAACCAACCAACCAACCAACCAAACAAACAAACAAACAACCAACCAACCAAACAAACAAACAACCAAACAACCAAACAACCAACCAATCAACCAAACAAACAACCAAACAAACAACCAAACAAACAACCAACCAACCAAACAACCAACCAACCAAACAAACAAACCCCCTTAAATCCTCTTTGTCACCATCTAATAACCCAAATAAATATGCGTCTCACTGAGAAGAAATTGGCTAGATTTGAGGCCAAAAAAGGGCCAAAAACAAAAACCTAAGAAAAACATCTAAAAGAGGCTTCTGTGACTCTCTGCAAAAATTTTAACTTCGTTAAACGCTTCTTGTTCGTCTACAAGATCACATTTTGTGTACTTTGGCTAGGCATTGATTCATATTGACTGATTCATATTGACTAGCAGAAATAAATCAATAAAGCTTTAACGACAACTAACACAACGTATATGAATATCTGCTGCGATAAAATCAGAATGATTTTTCTAGCAAAATTTCTCCTTTAAATCCTGCAACTACCGTATACCAAATTGACGTCGCCTCGTCGCTTTGGGGCAACAAATAGAACACTCCAGCATAGCCAAAAGTGCACAAAATTCGATTTTTCCTCACCATAATCCATCTTTAAACCATTTTTTGTATATAATTTTAGAATTGGATCGTTATAACAATGTTAAACAAGGTGCGCCGAAAGTTCTGTTACCTTCTTACCGAACGCATCCCACCGCACGCAAAATCAAACAAAATTTACATAAAATCAAGCAAGAGAACCAAATTAGAATATTTAACAACACTATAGGTTAAAAAAGAATTACATTAAATACTCAAAATGCCCTCCGTTTGCTTCAATACACTTGCTGAGTCACTTTCGAAATAGTCGCGCGCTCGATCACCGAAATCTCACTCCAAGCTCGACTTCAAAGTGTCAGCTCCAAGTTAAACTGATATTTTAGTTACTGTTGTTATTCTTGAATGATTTGTCTATTCTTATGTAAATTTGATCTTCCCTTATCCCTTTCATTGCCGAGAAGGGGCGGTCGATTGCCTAGGAGGACAAGTAAGGCTCTCACTTGGAGTCCCCCTGCCCCTTTCACTCATTTGTAATCTATTCGTCTTATCGTACCACTGTAAATAAAGACACATATCTTCCGGGTCTATGCAACTGCAGTCCAGGTCGGTCATTCCACAGGGACTCCCCTCTAATACGTTGGAGTCATACAATAAAGAAGGGGGCTATTCAGTCATACAATAAAGCAGAACTTTTGGCGCACCCTGTAAATTGGCAACAGCCAAATTTTCGGCGAAATACAAATTCTTGTCTTCTACAAATTCTACGAAATCTTTCTTGTTCCATCTTTGAAAAATTTTCTCAAATTGCGCATTGCGTGAGTAGCAAAATGGGTGAAATGCCAAATTTAGAGTTGTCTTCTTTTTCTCAGCTCCTTCAATTTCGTTTAATTTTCGATGCCCAACCATTTTTCTTTAAAGTCTCTTCTCTCTTTTCGTCTCTTCTCTCTTTTCGTCTCTTCTTTCGAGTTGCGTGATCTATGATTTAGTTTAGAACATTGTAGTTGTTAATTAGTTGTTTTGTAGTTGTTAATTAGTTGTTAATTAGTTGTTTTGTAGTTGTTTTGTAGTTTTTAGTTTGTATTAAGTTGACCGGAAAGTTCTTTCCGGTATAGCCGTAGTTTTTCACGTGGAAAGATCTTTCAAAACGTCGAGGAAATGCGCTTGTCACTCACTCAGTTTTTCGATTCGAAGCCACGTGAGTTTTACCGTCGCGAAATCTATTTGTTGCCGGATAAGTGGCAGGATGTTATTGACGTTGACGGTGAATATTTCGAGTGGATAAATTCTGTTTTTTTATTTGGCGTTTTTGATGCGTAGAATAAAAAGTTAGATCTAGCGATCTAAAACGGAAAGAACTTTCCGGCCAACCTAATAGTTTGTAGTTTTTAGTTTGTAGTCTGTAGTTTTTAGTTTGTAGTTTTTAGTTTGTAGTTTTTAGTTTTTAATTTCTTACCTTGTAGTTGGTAATTCGAATTTTAAGTTTACTTCATTTACTTTATTTTAATTGATGAAAATATAGAAAAGAAGTCTTTCTAAGGTTACCGTAACGGTTACTCAAGCTATCGCATTTCTCTATGATTTCTTTCACTTTATCGTTTGAATAAAGTATTATTATTATTATTATTATCGAATTACGGTAGTTGTAATGGGTTATTGTAATGAGTTACTGTAAACAGGGGAACTAATGGCTTGCTGTAACAGCTACTCAATGTACCGGGACGGTAGCTTAGTCATGTTTTAAAGTAGATTAGTCATGTTTTAAAGTAGATTAGTCATGTTTTAAAGTCAATTTCACTCCGATCTCTTCGATTTTAATATCATTTGAATTTCATTTCTATCGCAGAATTTCATTTTCTATCGATTGAAATCAAAAACAAAAAGATTGAAGGGGAAATTGGTCAAGATATCGCACTTTCCGTTGGATCTATTGGCATCTATTGACGTTGACACCGAAAATTCCCAGATCTATTGTGGACATTCGGCAAAACTAGATGGCCTTTGTTTTTGCAATAACAGAACAACTCAAAAGTTCGGAGCCACAAGGTTGCCGTAACAGTTACTCAAATTACCGACTTACGGTAGCTGTTATGAGTTATTGTAATGAGTTACTGTAAACGGGGGACTAATGGCTTACTTTAACAGCTAATGGCTACTTTAACAGCTACAATGTACCGCACATCGGCGCGAAAGTGAGTTTTCTATCGAATTTTTCCGGGAGTACCTTTTTTAGATGCGGAAAATTGTGCTGATTCCAAATCTGAAGGAATTTTTCAAATCCCCTTGACAGAAATTCTTTAAATTGAGTTTTAGCGGTTTTTTGGTCATTTTGTATGGGAAATTTTGTGGTACCCTGCAGTTTGGGGCTCGTAACTCGACAACGCGGGTCTAGAACCAAAAACGAAGGGATAAGTTTTATTCTAGAGACTCTTACGAACATTTTGATACAAAAATCATCAAATTTGCTCAACTCTACAAAAGGTTATAACATTTTTTAAAAAAGAAATGAGAAAATCTAAAAAATTCTCTATTACACAATTGTTTTGTTCAAAAGAACAATGTAGCTACCGTATTTACTCTATTAGTGGGGTCCCCCACTATTTTTTCAATCCCCTTCCAGACGACCCCACTATTAGAGAGGACCCCACTATTAGAGAAATTTAAAAGAACAACACGGAAAGTGGCGCGGTCAAGGGTTTAGTTCGGATTCCGGCGGAACATTTAAATTTCTATTGATTTTTCAACAGAATCAGGGACAATTATCATTTTTCGAGCGCTTTCGGCAGTATTGATTGATTGATTAATTGATTGATTGATTTATTGATTGATTGATTGATTTATTGATTGATTTATTGATTGATTTAATTGATTTAATTAATTGATTTATTGATTGATTGATTGGTAATTGATTTATTGATTGTTTGATTGATTTATTGATTGTTTGATTGATTAATTGATTTACGTTCTGTACGCTGATTTTAATTGAAGTTTCTTAGGGTTCCAGAGTTTAAAAAACAGTTAATGTCAACTAAAACTTATCTTTTATTGCTGTCATTCATTTTCTGTTTGTTTATTAAGATAGTAAAAAGGCCTTGTCTTTTTTTTCTGCCTTTTCTTTTCCCACTCTTTTACTTCTCCAATCTCTCGAAAAGGCAGCTCTCTCGAAAGTATTTCTCTTTTTCCGCCGTATTGATCGTTTTCAACAGACACTTTTTCCTTTACAGTCAAAACTTTTAGTTCGCTTTATATAATAATTTAATTTTAATCTGAGCAATTAAAATTTAATTTTAATCTCATTTTTGCAGGCCATTTCAACGAAAATATGGACTCCTATCTCATTTGCAAGGTTGTTTTATTCGATTCAGTTCATTAATTTAATTTAAAGTTCATTTAATTTAATTTAAAGTTCATTTAATTTAATTTAAACGATGTAAATTACGCAGAAAACGTATCGGAAGTCATTAATTAAGTAAAAAAATACGTAAATTATTGGGTTGGTGAATTGAAAACTGCCGGATATCACAAAACTTGCATTTTAAGCGAAACTACTAAGTGTATCTTTTTGGAAATTTGGCTATAAGCCTCATTTTTGATTCTCTACAACTTTTCCATTGACACCAAAATGGGTTTCTTTTGAAAAAAAGTGCTCAAACTGGGACCTCCATCCTCCTCTCCAGTTCTCCATTGTTGAGTCTCACACTTGTCTCACACACAAACCAAAATCCTACCACGAAAGAGGAATCCGCAAATTGCCTGTAAAATGGGCAGAAGTCGTCAATAATAATGGAAATTATTTGGAATGAATTGATGGTTTTATGGTGAATAAATTTTAGTTCAAAGTCCCGCAGTTTTCAATTCACCAACCCAATAGAATTTTTAGATTAAACTAAGGAGGGAATTAGAATGATAATCATGCAATGATTTTGACACTTATGAATAACCTTTTCGTAGCCTAAAAATCACTGTTTGTCGAAAATTTATATCAACATTTATTAGCAAGTATTTTTAGATACCAGACTGTGGGCAAAACGTCAAGAAACAAGCGCTAAAGTCTCATGCCGTCACTCATCTAACAAAACTGCGATTTCGATGCTCGGGTGAGGATTTTGCATATTTGGAGTTTTCTCTGCCCAAAAAAACTAGCTTATCTAACTTATATTGACGATTCGGACTTATATTAACGTTATTCACTTTTCCCAAGCAGCAGAATCACTTAAATTGGCATAGCTTAACGACTTGACAGCTAGTTAGAATTTGAAATGAACTTTATCCGGCTCCAGTTGGGTTGATCAACATGCATAGAGTGTGTACATATCGAGGGAAACGTTTTCTAACGTTTTTCAAGAAGAAAGTTCAGTTTGAATGACCGAGTGGGTTACGCGTTTGCCTCTAAAACGAGCGACTGTTAGGACTCGGGTTCGAATCCGGTCAGAGTCAGGACTTTTAAGAAAGAATTCTGATTTACGTAGAATTTGATAAAGACTATCCTGACTATTTATTAAAGACAAAATAAATGTTTTTAATCACTGAAACCAGCTAAAAACTCAGCCGGAAAATGTTTATAAAATAAAATGATTGGCTTCTTATACAGGGTGCAGCAAAAGTTCGGAGCCGCTATGAAAACATTGCAGAAAATTTAGCTCACGCTTTTTTTTGTTTTACTTTTACTTTTTTCCTTTTTCGAGTATAGTTAAGGTGATTTGTTACAAAAATTTTCTTTTTAAGAGAAAATTCGTAAGAATGAACGCCAAAAAACGACGTGATGTGATTCTCGGATTATACCAAGGCGGAAAAAATAGCCCGGAGATTGTAAAAATCATGAAATATCCAAAAAGCACCGTCAACAAAGCAATTAAACGCTACAAGGAGGTAAAGAACAACAAGGATCGCCCTCGAAGTGGTCGACCATCAACTGCCGTAACACCTACGAACTCCAACAAAATTCGCTTTCGGATCCACCAAAACAAGCTGCGGTCGATGCGAAAGATGGGCAAACAGCTGAAAATTAGCCCTCGAAGCGTTGGAAGGATTGTTAAAGGGAAACTAAGATTCTTTAGCTACAAATTGGCCAAAGCACACGTCTTGAGCGACAAATCCCAGAAGAAACGAAAATGTCTAGCAAAGAAGATGGTGCGCTTGGTGGCGACTGACCTATTTGAGAGGATCCTCTTCACAGATGAAAAGATTTTTTTCTATCCAGTCTTTGCACAACCGCCAAAATCATAGATAACTTGTCAAAAGGGGTCTGAAGAACACATTTGCGGCAAATTTGATGGTTAGAAAGCATTTTTCAGCTTCGATTATGGTGTGTGGAGGTATGTGTGCTACAAGCAAGACACCTCCTGTTTTTTTGGACAGAAACGTCAAGATGAATGCTAAAAACTGCCAACAACTGGTATTAAAAGATTGTCTTGAAACATTGGGCAACAAATCACTTTGGATAAGCTGGTTTTTCCCTTCAACAGGACTGGGCTCCGGCGCATGGTGCTCACTCAACTCTCAACGTTTGCGCTCAGTTGTTTCCAGGCTTTTGGGATAAGACCATTTGGCCTTCAAATTCGCCAGATCTTAATCCCCACGATTACTCCGTTTGGACTATTTTGGAAGGCAAGATCTCGATGAAGACCTGTCAAACAGTGGATGCTTTAAAATCTGCTCTGAAACGAGTCTGGGATGAAATAACTGTTTAAGCGTGCGCCACCATCGTGAGGAACTTCCCAAAGCGTTTAAAGAGGTGTATCGAAGTGAATGGTGGAAATTTCGAGCATTTGTTATAAGTTATTTGTTGTTATGATTCGAATAAAGAATTTGTTATTAATTTTTAACTTTTTAAAGCTAGTTTTTAAACCTTTAACTATCTTAAGAAGCGGCTCCAAACTTTTGCCGCACCCTGTATACTAAACCGCTAAAGCAACGCGTTTTGGAACCTTACTTGATGTTTTACTTGGCGTTTACTTAAGTAAAAAATTACTTAGAAAAATTTACTTAACTAGTTACTTACTTGAGATGTACACACTCTAAACATGGGATCCTAGGTGTACCTGCAATGTTATGCATGAGATTCTAATGGGTACGCACTTCAGATAGAGATAAATCTTACAATTTCTTACTACCATGCACTGATTAACTAAAAATCAAAAATTTTAGTCTGCAATTACCGAGCACAACTGAAGAAAAATGTGGAAATGCACCAGAAATATCGACACAACGGAGGTGGAGATGTGGTCGATGAGAAGTGAGATGCCATGAAAAGCTGTGAAAATAAGAGAATTCAGAGATAAAAAGTACGATGAAGAGCTCGAGTCGATCATGGAGCAATGTTTTTATTGGGAATCATCACCGTCTGAGGAAGAAGTTTGTACAAATTTTTTTGATCTGAGTTTTTTAATGAGTACCGTATTTATTTCTAATTCTAGGTTGTTAGAAAAGTTCGCTGTCACTTGCAGAAAATTTCAAATTATCTAATTATTTCGACAAGGATTTTTATGGTTTTTGGCTCGTTTGAAAGCCTGTTTTCTTGCGAGCATTTTGTTATATGACTTACTTTACACGTTCCACATCCTTAGATGGATAAAGGCGAACTTCGTGTTTTGCTCTGTTGAAGTTGAAGAGTTGAAGAGTGTCAAGAGTTCTTTGATTCAAAGGAGCCGGCTTGGTACTTCGAATAGATCCTAAATCTTGCGGATCGTCGTAGAGGTCGTAGAAGGCAGAACGAAGGTCATAGAATGACGGACTATACTTCGAAGAATGAACGTTGGTTTCTGCATTCATTGATTTTTCATTCATTGAATAATCTGTCTGCAATTGACCCCGAATTTTTTTAACAACCTAATAGTAACTCACTAGGGGAGATCGCCAACTTTAGGTGGGATTTCAAAGCGAGACCTATCCTAGCTTGTTCAGTTTTTAACAGGCTCTCCGAATCCCCTGTAGGATTTCCCCGCTTCTTTCGACCGAGTTCGACTCCCTTGTCGAAACGTTTATAACCTTTTAACTGTTTTTAACCAATATCTATTTTCTCAACGGAAAATGTTCTTTCTCTTAAAAGAAATTTCCTATCAAATCACAATAAAGAAAAAAAAATAGTTATAGAAAATTCCAACTTTTGTATAGAGGAAATAAGCGATATTCTCTCTCTTCAAAAGTCTACTTTTTTATTAGCAAAATCAGACTTACATATTCAAGTTCTAGAAATGAACAAAATCAAAATCAAAAGCAATTTAAAATGCAACTACAAATAAAAACTTAAACCATATGCAAATGACATCTGATTTGAATTTTCTACAAACATTTTTTTTCTTGATTGTGGTTTGATAAGAAATTCCATATAAAAGAAAGAAAAACACATTTCCGTTGAAAAAACAAATATTGGTTTAAAAAGCTGTGTTAGAAGATAGTTAGAAAAATATTGACATTGTTGACAAGGGAGTCAAACTAGGACGAAAGAGTTTTCAAGGAAGAGCACTACCTCTCAGCCACAGGGACAGTTGGCAGCCTTTCCTAGTCAGGACTTGTGAGTTCGAAACTGTGCGGTTTCGTGAAAGGACGGAAAAAAAGCGACGGTTCAATGAATGGAGTTTCAAAAGTTCTGTGTACTTCTCTGCGAAAAATAATGACTACTTCTAACAATGCCCTGGCCTTTTGAGGCATTCGAAAAAATAGTGTCGATTATTAGAGGAAATATGTTACATAGAATATAGCCAAAAGAATACCGAATTAGGACCAAAGCCAATTAGGACCAGAGTCAATTAGAACAACAGAAAACAAATTCAGATCGAGGAGCAAGAAATGAATGAAGAGAGTGTATATGAAGATGTCCGTCAAGGTTCCTCTTCAAAAGCTTCCAACGAAGAGCCATTCGTTTTGGAGCCGGTAAGCTTTCCCAAAGAAATCTGTATGAAAGATTGAAAAACCATAACGTTTTAATTCAAAATTGTTATCTGAATACAATTAGATTCGAATTTCTGGTAGACAGATCAAGTGAAATATCGTTAATTCCATCAAACATATCAGTAAAAACTCCCTGCTCTAGGTACCGACTTTTGAAATGCGGCGGCAATCGAATCAGAAAAATATGCTCATATGTCAGGTTAGTTTTCCATATTTTTTTTTCTAGAAACCATAAATTTAGATACAGGACTGTGGGCAAAAGATAAACCCAGGCAAATGCATGTATGGTCTTCGGGCCCATGCCATTGTCCATCATCCCATCAAAAGATTTCAGTGTACAGGTAAATAGACTTTTTTTTAAGTTTTTCAATGTCTCAATCAAGATTTTACACCAAAAATCCAAAGATCACCAAAAATGTGTTTCTTACAAAAGCATTTTACCGTTTTAGCTGTAGCAAAAGTGAAGATTCGAAAAGAAAAGAAAACATTTGGCTGCTGTCCATTGTACAAAAATTTACAAATTCAGTGTGCAGCTTCTTGGCAAATGGAAAAGAGGGTGTCTTGCTACACCAAAAAGCGAAACACACTGGTCAAGGATTAGTTCTCGATCGAGGGTAAGTGATCCTAAGTGCCAGCACGAAGACGTGGCGATCCGGTCCAAGGATGACGCTATTCAACTCAGACCCTTATTTGTGTGAACTCTTGGTCAGTCCGGCGGTCAGTCCAAAGGCCGGCCGGGGGTCGGTTTGGTGGTCGGGAAGTCGGGTCGGATATCGATCCTACCGTCATTCCAAGGGTCAACCAGAAGTCAGTTCAGGGGCCGTATTATCACCTTGCGGGAAACTTGCAGCAGTAAAGCTTTTCCCGTGTATTATCACTTCGCGGGAAATGGCCGCGAGAAATCCCAAATTTCCTCGTATTATCATTTTTTCCCGCGGGAAAGCCATTTTCCCTCTGACTTTCCCACGGGAAAATTTTACTATAGAAAAAATTTCCCGCTCAAATTCGGCGGGAAATCACCGGAAAGCTTACTTTTACGAGATCCGAAGTCTTTTTATTGCTCATCTTGCTTGCTAAAAGAGTACCCATCAACCGAAATTTATCAAATAAATTAAGAACAAGAATTTAGAAAAAAGAATAAGAACAAAAAACAGGATGAAGAAAATAGGCAACTTAACCAACTTCTGGAGAAAATTACCAACTTATCTACGTATCTACGTATCTACGTATCAACTTATCTACTGATACAACAAAATTATTGAAAAGTGTTATTAACGTTACGGTTCTTTCACCTTTGTTGTCTTAGGCTTACTGTTGATCGATTCTTTCACTTACTCAAAGTGAAAGAATCGATCAACAGTAAGCCTAAGACAACAAAGGTGAAAGAACCGTAACGTTAATAACACTTTTCAATAATTTGTTGTATCGGTGCACCATATTGCAAATTTCACCTTTCCCACAAAAGCTTTTACCGTATATTACCACTTTTCTCACGAGGAATTTCTCATAAGGTTTTCTCATAAGGTTGAGTGAAACTCCGAGAGATTTTGCCCGCAAGAAATGTTGTGATGGAAATTCCCTTCCGGTGGGAAATTTCCTAGGTAGTAATACGGCCTCAGGAGTTCGCGAGCCGGCTCGGGGTTCGGCCGGTGATCGGTTATTAGTTCTTGTCCAAGTTCGAACCCATTTCAGCTGCATTTTGTAATAGAGTCAGAAATCTTACCTGATCTGAGTGACTAATAAGGCTATCTGAAGTTCATGCAATGTATCTAGACGAGGATCCTTTTGAAAATGGCAAAAGTTAACAGTAGACCGAAATAGAATATAAACTAAAAATCTCTATAAAAGTTGTTTTTGTTTCTTAACAATAAAATTTAGCGATGATAGCTATTTCGATACGTTGGAAGAGTTTATCGTGAAGTGTTTCCCCTCAGCAGCTGATCGTAAAAGAAAAGTAAAAGAACTTTTCTTCATAGTTTTTCATTTTTTAATCGTTTTTCTTAAAATAATGAATTTTAGCCGCGAAAAAGCCACGCAATCAACGAGCAAATGATAATTAAAGAAGAGCAAAATGGTGCTCTTCTTGCATCGGTTTGTTTTAGTTCTCTTTCTTTTTCTAAGCCTAATTTAGAACGTTAATTCTTCATCACAGATAGTGCCTCTTTCCTCTCCATTGAGGGAAAGTTCCCTTTCAAAGACAAACGATGACAGTGACAAACAAGAAGCAAAGAAAAAAGAAAGCAAAAACATAGATGTGATGTGTCAGGTCAGTTCAATTTCTCATTGTAAAACTTTATTATTTAGATACCCGGTTGTGAGCAAGTGATGTCAAGCGAAAGAAATGGAATGAAACATCTTCGAATTCACGCGATATCCCATCATCCCCTCAAGAGATTTCACTGCTCAAGTAAGTGAACACAAAAGTCATTCATTCGATTATTTTCTTGTTAACCTCAAATCTGCCACATTTATAGTGACCGTATTTACTCTAATAGAAGAAACATAACTAATAAAATGCACTACTAATCCACTATAATAATCCAGCTAATCTGAACTGAGTACCCTAATCTAGACTGGATACCGTAATCCAGACAGTCTAGACTGAATACCCTTATCTAGACTGAATATCCTAATCTAGACTGAATACCGTAATCCAGCTAATCTTAACTGAATACCTTCATCTAGACTGATACCCCTAATCCAGACTGAATACCGTAAACCAGCTATCTAGACTGAATACCCTTATCTAGACTAAAACAGTAATCCAGCTAATCTAAACTGAAAACCCTAATCTTGACTAAATACCCTAATCTACACTAAATACCTTAATCCAGCTAATCGTTCTACCGTATCCCCTTTTAACGAGACTGTTTGTTTGATGTTTAATGGTTCTTTTTGTTACCTAATTGTTAATTTATTGTTATTTGTACGTTAAATAAATTACCTTTAAAAAGAAATGATTCTGAATATAACAGAGCAAAGGATTTTTACTGCAAAAAAATAGTTTTAAAAAATTGGGGGAGCTCAGCCATTTATTTCATTGATTTTGGAAAGTCTTTGAAAGATAGAAGAGCAGTCTCTAATTGAAGAAACTTTGTGAGGGGATTAAAAATAGAAGAGGAAGATAGAAGTACTCTAAAAAGGAATACGGTAATTAGAATGAAATCTACTTTAGAATGAAATCTACGTTAGAATGAAATCTACTTTAGAATAAAATACTTTAGAATCTACTTTAGAATCTACTATTTAGAAATGAAATCCAAATTTTCAGTGTGCATCCATGCCTCGAGCGTGAAAAAGGCTCTAGAAGGTCATCAAAGACGACTGCACGGCGGTCAAGGATCCGTCGTTGACATAGCGTGGGTTGAAAATGAAAGAAAAAACAACTTCTCATTTTAGTGACAAATATTATTATGAAGTTCTCACAACGATCACGAGGAAATGTTTTCCGAATTACGCTGGAAGGAATGTTTCGAAAAGGAAAAGGAAATTGAACGAGGTTTGGCAGGAAGTTTGTTTGCAAAGTCGAAAGAATTGTATATTCATTTCACATTCATAGGTTAATGGATTTTAAAATATTTGAAAACCCCATAAAGAACCAAATGTACAAATTCTCTGCTTAGACTGGAGTTTTAACTGACACAGATCACGGATTAAATTATCAGAAAGTTCAAAGCTCAGGGGAAATTATATTGGGTTGGTGAATTGAAAATTGCGGGACTTTGAACTAAAATTTATTCAACATAAGACCATCAATTCGAAGTTTTCCATAAGTACTAGATCTGGATTTTTATTGAAAAGGCCAGCGGCGGTCAGTACCTGCCGGTCGTTATCTGTCGATCGACTCTATTTTTGACCCTCAGCTAATAGACACTGATCATTTTTGAGCAAACCGGTGCTGATCAACCGATTAGATTTCTAATAAGCACCAAATTTTAGATTGAACGATCGTTGGAATCGGATGAGCAAAAAGAGGCAGAGGATGCTGAAATGGAAAAGGAAGATGGTCTCAAGGTTTCCAACGATCCCGTTGAGCCCTCCGAAGTTTTTGATGACACCAACCAACACCTAGTTATTGATCTTTTGCAAAAATTGCTTACAACAACTTTTAGGAAATAAAAGATGAGCCAATTTTCGAAGAGGATGCGATGGACGTCGAATCGTTGCTGAAAAGTTCCACAACAAATGTAGGTTAAAAGATGGACATTTCATGCTCATTTCATCTTTCAGCATCTGCTTTCTGAAGTCAAAGAGGAAATCAATCTGAGCAAAGAAATTCCCGTGTTGTTATTGAATGTAAAAGGTGAAATACTTTATTTATACTGTTCAAGTCACAAAATTTTAGATGAGAAATCGCCTTTAGAACAGATAATTGAAAAAGTGAAGAATGAGTGTTGAAGTGATGTTTTTGATGTTGAAATTGTTAGTTTTGTTGCCTTTTTTCAATAAATTCTAAAGAGTTCTCTGTATTTTTTGGAATAAACTTAATTTTGAACCATTTAACCGACATGAAATTTATCAAACGTGAAACATGGTCTCAACAGGAAGAAAATGAAGCGAAAATTAAGAATTTAGTGTGATTAAATGCAGCATATCAAAAGGGAAAATAGCTAATTATTTTTATTACACAAATTCTTAACAATAATACTTTAGCGCAACTGAATTGTTCGTTTTCTTGCTGCTCTTTGAAATAACATTTGGACTGCTACTTAAAACAATAGTGTACATTTAAAAAGGCTTTTTGAAAGATTTTTGAATTGAAAACAGGTTCAAATCGGTGAGTGCGATGACGGTTTGCCTCCAGCGCACTACAATGCTTCTTTGGAGAGCTAGACGGATCTGATCAGGATGGTTTAGGCGTAGAAAAGGTCACCAGAATTTCAGCTTCAAAATACTATATAGTAAGTCGAATTTCGATCTTTGGTTTCAGATGAAAATGGAATTTCTTTTGTAAAGTGTGCGGGAACTTTTTAATCACCTTCTTGAGAAGCCGGCTGTTCTAATGGCTAATTAATTTCGTATGCTTATTTCTTATTTATTTCTTACGCCGGAGTCGAACCGTTGACCCTCAGATCACCGCTTTCAGAGCTCTTTCATCTTTCATTTTTTTTGAGGGTCAAGGGCTCAACTCCGGCGTGCGGCAGTTTTAAAAAAAATGTTACTAAAATAACGAATTTTGCATTTTCTAGGGTAACTTTCAACGTTGATTCCGAAAAACATGGCTTCAGCCTAGGTTTCCGCAGAAAAAAAAACGAAAAAACACATTTTTTTATTTTTTTTTAAAAATGCTACTAGTTTTTTCTGCGTAGCCCAATTTTTATGTTTTTGGTACCAAAATGCTCGTAGAGTATAGCTGCATCAAAGTAAGTTGTAGGATCAGAGGAGCGTTGCGTAGTCTACGAAAATTTTTGTATAATCATTTTTTCCTTGTGACTCCGTGAAACGATTTCTGGTTGGTTTCAAAAAATCGAGCATTTTTTTCACTAATCGTTAATGTACAATAAATGTTATTCAGTTAAAGATTCATCTTTTTTGATCTTGTCTGCCTTAAAATCAGAACTTTATCTTGTTGCAACAATTATGGCGCACACTGTAGACTTGATCCCACTTAATTAAAGCAAGAGAAAATCTTTCAAACCACCGATCTAACTCTTATTTCGTTTCGAATCTTTCAAAACATTTCATTATATAATTAGACATTTATAAGGTTTGGATAGAAATTCCCCGAGTTATCCTTTCACAAAGGTGATCAAAAAAGCCTAAAACAGTTTTTGTTTGCTTTTTGTGATTTGTGATTTCTCGACGTCAAATGTAATCACATTCTCCAGTGCTGCTCATCGTTTTCCTCTTTATGCCGACAATTCATGTCTTGACAAATAAATAAAGCAAACAAAAACTGTTTTAGGCTTTTTTCATCACCTTTTTTCATAACCTTTTCATCTTTTTTTCGTCAAAAAAATTCGTTTTCCCTTCTCGACAGCACTCAATCGCATCTGAGCGATAACGAAAAAAATGCAAAAGAAAATTGTTGATCTATCTTCTTTGGCAGATTCAAATTGAAAGACAGAGGGTAATTTGTGGTTTTCAAAGAGTCAACGATGACTTTAGTGATAAGCTAATGTCAATTAATCAGATAATCGACTAAACACAACAATTGGGAGCCTCGCTTATTTTAAAATCAAATGTACTGTCGTCGATTGAAGAACATTCTGACAGAGAATTTGATTATGAGTCACTGCAACGAGTCGATTGCAGATCGCAATCCCGTCTATCACAGTTGCCATTGCTTGTACGATGTCCTACTTTACGCGATCCCATTCGTCGTACAACAACGTAGATGATTCAAAATGGACCTCAGCTGGCGCTGGGGACTCCGCACAGAGCAGTTCGGTGTAATCGGTGAATGTATCAATAGTGACAATCGAAGTCATCACATCCAAATGAGAGACATATTGGTGGGAGTCGATAATTAAGTGAACCTTTGCTCGTTTCGTTTATGACTCTTGCTGCCCCTACGGACCGAAATCCTTGGGATGAATCCAAAAATTCACAGCGGCTCCCTTGAGCACCCTTTTACAGGCACTTGGGATCCCATTTCGACCGACGGAAAACCCACCATCATGGTCAAAATGAGCCGGAACTGGGTTCACCAGTTCTACAGCCGAGGTTAGTTTTGGGAAGCGGTGAGCACATGGGGCAGACAACGGATTGGTTACCGGATGACCCAAAATGGACGCTTCCGATTCAATAGGTGAAAAGGGAACTATATCCGGAGGCGTGGTATGCCAGATCGAGCGCGATTGTGCTCGCACACAGGAAACCCACAGCAATCTTCTTTTTTCCAAATTCAATTAAAATTCTTAGATCCTTCCTCTCCGTGGCCTTTATTAACAACCTGGACAATGTTAGCGATTATTTAATCGCAATGATTAATTGTTTTAGTAGAAACCATACGCGACCTACAATTCTTTTCTCTTCGGCTTGGAAAATAAAGAGTGGTGTCATCAAGAGTTATAAATTCAGGCAGATAATGACAGTTTTACAATTAGCAATGACAATTGTATCATAGCGAGCCTTCCTCAGACTTCTCAGCTTCATGAGGACGGTTTATGAAAAAATGGTTACCTAAACCCAAAATGAGGCCATAATGTGAGCAAAAGCACAAGCCTTGATCGCTAGAAAATACGCGGCTACCAGAGTCATCACTTTGAAAAGCGACATCACGACGAATGTTGATTCGGGAAAAATTTACATCCTTAAATACATTTTGGATTCTATTGTCAAATTAAATACATTTCCTTGTACTCGAATGGAATCTTTTATCGTGAACGAAAGCAATCCGTCAAATGTTGCCTGTTTGATTGTTGACGAGACAAAAAATTGTTGACGATTGTTGACGAGACAGCCGAAAGCCAAAAACCAAAAAAAGCCGTCTTTGGTTTGGATTCAAAAACCGAAAAAAGAGTCGACCAACAAAACTAACAAAACCAAAGTTTTTTTGGTTTTCGGCTCTTTCTTCGATTTTTTGCTTCGTCAACGATCAAACAGCAACATTTGGCGGATTGCTTTCGTTCACGATAAAAGATTCCATTCGAGTACAAGGAAATGTATTTAATTTGACAATAGAATCCAAAATGTATTTAAGGATGTAAATTTTTCCCGAATCAACATTCGTCGTGATGTCGCTTTTCAAAGTGATGACTTTGGTAGCTGCGTATTTTCTAGCGATCAAGGCTTGTGCTCCGGATGTAAACGGTAAGAAAAAGTGGAAATTCTTCATTTTATTAAAAACCACAAATACTAATCTGACTTTGGTTGCTTTTATTTTATTTTATTTTTATGAGCTCGGTAAATCGAGGTATTGTAGCTTTTTCCTGGAAACTAAAATGGTTTTTAGAAACTATCTTAGCAAGAAGAGAACAATTTAGTTATGAGTAAGCTAATGGTTTTTTAAAAGATAATACTTCTTTGGAAAGTACCGTAATCAAATCAAATCAAAATAGCTATTTGCTATTCAAGTTATTTGTACTTTTCTTTTAAAGACTTGGCCACAATTGGAAGCGCCACAGTAACCTTTCAACCATCAGCATCGTGGACATGGGATGCGACCAATGCGGGAACTGTTTGTTGCAAGAGCTCCAGTGCTTTATTGATCATTTTCACTTTAGCCAGGATCTCAAGCGGAAGCCGATGCGAATATCAATGATGATCTCGAGTTGGCTGTGGGTTTTTGGGCTCTGAAATATAGGGTGCTCCAAAAAAAGAAAACATTTTCAAGCCGGAATTTCTCAAAATTTTTGTGGCTTCTTGATTAGAAGTTCCTTGGAAAATCTAGAACTCTCTTTGAAGACGGTGAGTTGAAAGAGAGAGATGTATGAGAGAGATGAGAGATTAATGTATGAGAGATTAGTCCATACTCCAGACCAATAATCCGTTTGCTTAATAATCTTAGTTTTCATATTAGAACTAATATGACATCACGATGCCAGTAGAAAGTCTCCATTTTATGGCAAAAATTTTACGCTATTGATGGTCTCATGGTGATGACCATGGTGACACCCATAATCTCATGATTCTCCTATCGAGTGGTGGTGTTTTCGTGAAAAGATATGAAAAGCAGATTGAGAGCACAAATGATCCATTTTGACACCACATCGACCACCACTAGCCACCAGAAATTCCGAGAAATTTCGGTTTGAAAACCTTTTTGGGGACCCTGTCGTTTCTCAAAGGTAGTTAATTTGAAAAACAACCGTAATCCTTCGTTCAGATTTTTTGTTTTACTTAATTTTTAGTCCATTCAATTCAGTTCAGATATTTACTTAATTTTGAGTCTTTGTCCTTTTCAGTTTTACCGAGCCGTTGCAAAGAACGGTGTAAACGTGTTGTTAAAGAAGATCGAATTGACAGGCACCGGGTTACCGGTGGATCGCTCAATGGCGTGTGAAGATCTAATCTTTACACGTGCGTCATGCTCAAGAAAGATTTTTCAAATGTTTGTAATATTTAGTCGTTTTCGACACCGCTGTTCCACCATATTTGGCCTATTGTTCCCCCATCACCCCAAACTTTGAAACTCCGTACATTGTGGATGGTGGGTGACTTATTTTCTAATAACAAAAGTACAATTTGAGCATAAAATCAGAAAGATTTGATTTCAATCAAGTGCAGCATTCATTTAGAGCATGACTTGCATACAATTTTTGAATGCTGACTCGGGTAGTCGCTTTAATATGTACCCAACTATCGTAACCCTACCCAGCTCTCAATCTTTATAGAGTTGGGCTCTCTACTTCCGAGTTAACTTGTGTACAGTAATCTTTAGGACTACAGCAGAAATTACTTGAATTATTAAAATTGACTGACTGAATCTGGGGTACGGTAGTCACGCTTTAAGATGGGGCACGGAAAAGTTTGCATTTTTAAAGTTGAATAAAAAATTTATTTGACTACAGTATGACTTTATGACTATTGGTTTTCGTTTTCATCACAATTTTCAGATATAACTGTGGTGGTGACACTCGAAACTCCAATTGCTGTCGACACTTTTAAGGAGTTGATGGAAGATGTAAGGATTTTTGTGGTAACAAGCTAAAACGTTTGCAAAAACTTAAAAGAGTCAATTTTAAAACTTAAAAGAGTAATTTTTAGATCTTATCGGATCTTCGCCAAAGCAACAGAGCCTCTCCTCCATCAAATGATGCCAGCTTTGACTTCCAATAGAGTTCACGACTGTATTTGAAACTAGAATTCAAAGTATTCGCAATAAATGTTTAAAAGTGTTTTTCTGCCGCATGAAAAAATGTAAAGTCTTTCATTTTTAGTGTTGAAATAACAAAAAACAATAAAATTTATTCTTTTCCTTCAAGAATCGGTTCAATCACTGATACAAATCAGAATCTTTGGTTGATCTTTGGTTGAAGCAGTCTAATCTGGAGCTCAATGATTCACATTCACTTTGCCATCCATTGGTAAAGTGGATGTGAAAACCCCAAGCAAAGCCGACAAGTAGTCCTCCAGTTAAGTAAGAATGTCTAAAATTTGTTTTTAGACCAAGATACTTTTTGGAGCAAAATAATCCTGTTTTGAAAAGTCAAAAAGATCAAAAGACTAGTCTTTTGATGACGGTTTTTTGTAAAGTTTGTTTGAGTTCAATTGGTTCAATTGGCAACCCTGCCGTACGCTGTACATGTACGAAAGCTGCTCCAAATTTTATATGTTACAAAAATGGTTTCGGTTAGCTAGGAATCCTATAGATTTCAGTAGTTTTAGCTTTATAAATAGTTTCCTTAAAAAAATTGACAAAATTTTCTTTTGGCTAGGCACCAAGAGTTATTTTCTTATTCGAGTTCTGGTAACCCTGCCGTACGCTGTACATGTACGAAAGTGGCTCCAAATGCTGCGATGAAAAGTGTGGCCATTTTCGCAACGACTTGGACGGCGAATCGCTGGGTTCCTTCAAAAAGTACTTAAATGTCATAGCTCGTAAAACAGTTTGTCTTTTAAGTTTTGCAACGCACGTTATAAATTGCTAATTCAATAGGTACAAGAGATGCTTGAAAAGTTTCTAAACCTAGAAAAGTTTCTATTTTAGTACGCCGGTCTTGTTCTACTGGGTTGCGGGTGCTCGACAACAACGTTTTGAAACAAAATTTTGTACACATTAACAAACTATTTATTAAAAAAAACTAATCTTGCAGCTTGTGTTCTTTGAGAAATCGAAAATCTCGGTGATAAATGGCTTTTATATAGACCATTGTCTGTGGATTCCGAGCCGCCTTGAGCAATTTTTTCCTTTCGGCGTTCGATCGAGAGGCGTGAACGGTGGTCGATGAGAACAAATGACGCAAAGCCTGAAAAGGTGTCTTTTTCATATTCTTTCATTGATCTATTCTCACTTTATTGGCCACATTATTTGGAACGTGTGCTTTTCGAAGAACTCTAAGCATTTCCCCTCGCATCTTTCCTCGATCGCGTGAATGATGCACAATGTGAACGGTTTCGCTTCCGATTCCGCAAAAACTAAATGGACGCACAAAATTTGGTGGAGCTTTTGGCTATATGCTAATAAAAGAGAACTCAAACAGTGCCTCAGCTCAAAAAAAGGCCATTTTTTTCACAAAATCTATAAACTGTCTTCTAGAAAAAACGGTTGGAGGGATTTTGCTGGAAAATTTGGCAACTTATGTAATCGAGTGTGCTCTATCTTTTTTATATAGACATCAAAGGAGGTTTATGCGGAAGAAACTGTTCAAACGATGAGTCGGACTCTGCCATTTTTCAGTCGGACTCTTTGCCAGGCTGTGTTTGGGAGTCCATAAACTTCACGAAAGAAAAGCTTTGTGGAATCTCGCAAAAGTCATTTTGTAGAGAAATAGTGGACCTTTTTGATGAAATAAAACTTGGTATTTAAAGAAGGCTTTATGCGTACAAAAAGTGTCTTTAAAGCTCGTCGCCATTTCAACCTCAACCCAATACCATGATCTCTGGACCTTCAAAGTTGAACTACTCATTCAAAATGCTCGGATCCCGGCTAAAAGCCAAGATACTTCGATAAAGAATTAGTTAACCTTTTTACTGATATCAAACGCGTTTCTTTTGACGAAGTCTGCTAGAAGTTTTAGAAATTTCTTTGATTTTCGACGCCATTTCATTTTCCTCAATGCAATAGTTGCCACTTTTTAGTAAACCCGTTTAGTAAACCTCGTTTGTGGAGCCGAGTGCCAAAGAACGTAGTCGGTCTTCTTCGTTTGCACTCTCGCCATCATTCCGTTTTCGTTTCTCTTCGCGTTGTACAACCACCGAGCAAATTGATGAATGTTTCGAATGGATGGAGGGCACCAATAGCTACAAAATTCGGATCAAAAAACCTAGAGGGTATGCTTGATTCTTAGGCTTTTATCCTAAGGCTGTTCTTTTATTAATCTCTAATTTTCTAGCATTAAATCTCTAAAGTTCTTGTCCAAATAATAATCTTCTTATAGCAAATAATCTTTTTATAACAAATAATAATTTCCACTGACCCTGGACAAATGTATCCATAAATTGAGACAAATCGCTCGACCGGATCTCGAACTGTCGTGAATTTGATCGTTTCCAGCAGAGGTCGCTGCCATTTTGTGGTCAAATCAAAGAGATAGTTTCCTCTTTTCTCGCATTCACTAAAAAGTTCAAAGAAAAGTTTAAAGAAGAGTTCAAAGAACAGTTCAAAAAAGAATTCAAAAACTGGTTCACCTTGTCAGATTGATTGAATGGCCACGTTTCGGGTCACGTTGGGGCTTTCCTTTGTAGGCGCGTAAAATTTCACAGAGAATCTCTTTCGTCACCGTTGAACCAGTTTTCGGAATGACACAATACTCAACACCAAAGCCTGGATTAATCTGAATAAGGAAAATTCAGATTAGTCGAATATATCACAAGAAATTAAGAAAATGAACCCACAGTGTCCGAAATTTCGTATGAGCGACCGAGTGGCTTCACTAAAACTAAAGATGTAAGAGAATTTCCATAAAACCTACGAGAGAAAGTTCCCGAAAAGAAGAAAGTAAATAAAATGATTAGCATTTTAAAGGAAACCATTCTTTTGGCTTTTCGATCATTTGATCGGATCGAAAATCTCTCGAAAACGAGATCCGGGGGTGATTGATTGTCGGATAATAGCTACAGGTTTTGATATGAGCTTTTTTCTGAAAAAATCTAGTCACCGACTAATTGTGAGTTAGGATTTGGTTTCTTTCTTTCTAAATTTTTGCTAATTATTGTAATCAACTTGATCAACTTTGAGCACTCAATTCTTTGCCCTTATTTAAGTGATAGTCAAGTGTTATGCACCAAAAGATAGCCCTGAATCTCTGCTATTTTTTGGTACATAACACATGACACTATTGCTTATTTGAACCGCCAAGTCTTGTCTGTTTGTCATTGATTAGTCGGCTTACCATAAAATCTGTAACCAGCGGAAAACTGGGGAGGTGGGGAACCCATTCGGCCGCCTTCGGGACGGGTTCGAGGAACGCGCATAGTTTAAACGGTCCATCTAAAGTACCATCCGCTAATAATTACCTTGCTCTTCCATAAACCATGATTGTCGAACTCTCTTCGGACATATTCAACCCGTTCCTTTCTTAAAACCACTAAAACTACCGTAACCAATGTTAAGTCCCGCCCCTTTTTAAAAATGGATCTAAAAGTCAGAGTCCCCATAGCCGAAAACCCCCGGGAGCAAAATATCGCGCAAAAGCTGAATACTTTGCCTTCTAACCGATAGAGCAAACGTAATTACGGAGCGTCGCGTTTGCGCACAGACAGACAGATTTTTGTGCTTTTGCTTTTCTCTTGCTTCTCTTTTGCTTTATATATAGTAGATAGAGCCCCCACGACACGAATAAGGGACAGAACTAAACTGAAAGAACTGGAAGGGACAAAATCAGAGCCCTGACCTCATCTGCCCTTTTTAAACCTCTTCCATTTCCCTTCTTATGGCGCAGATCTGAAGCACAAGGCATAAAGGAAGGTCTCGGCCTTTCTGCCAAGTGAAGCGACGTCAGCTTTTTGTTGGTTGGCCGTTCGTCGTTGGTTCGATCTCTTTTGGGGTCAAATCTTTTGTCAAATCATCTTTTGGGGTGTTTTTTTGCATCAGATGGGATAAAATCATACTTTTTTTAGTTTTCAAATATAAGTAGATGGCAATCAATACATCAAAAAATAGCCCCAAAACTCTATTCCTTTTTTGTCAAATAAAACATGGCAATAACTTGAAATAGGACTGAGAATGCAGTGACAAAATTTGGTCAAAGAGGCCGTTTTTGGTCTTGGTCAAAGAGGCCGTTCTAAGACGCTTTCCAGATGTTCCAGACAACCAAATGTTTCCAGAACTCCTCAAATATCATTTCCTATTTTAAGATGGCTTTAAACTAAAGTGTTTTCTTTGGTCGAAAACTTTCAATTCCCTTCGGTTAAAACATTTTTCTTCCTTAGCCAAAGGATCAAGGACTGAAATCTCACATCATTCGTTTGTGGGTGAAATGAAAAATTCAAAAAAACAAAGCAGGATATGAAAGTTTTCTTATCATTTTTTCAATGATCCGTTCGTTTTTAAACAAAAAAAAACAAAGAGATCTTTAGGATAGAAGGAAAATCTAAAAGAATCAAGGTCAAACAAGACGTACATAAATGTTTCACATTGGGTTGGGTTGAAGGGGAAAAGGGTTGACGGATGAACGGTAGCTATGTTTTGAATTAAATTCATTTTTATTTCTCCGTCTTCTGATTGGCCATGGGGGAGACCTTGAATTGTGTTGATTTTGATGGGTTGTTTGTTGTTTATTTCAAAATTGAAACGAATAAGCTGCAAAATAAAAAACATAGTTGAAAAACAACAAAGAGCTACAGAAAAGAATCAAAAGTCTCGAACTAGCAAATGACATTGGTCGTATTCATTTCCATCATGATAATATCTTTGGTTACCATAGGTGGTCCAGGCAACGGAGGTCGATGGTGACGCCATTCCCAGCAATTCCCGACCCGACGCTGAGACGACAGCCGGACAAAAGTCGTCGATGGTAATCAAACGGTTAGTCGGGTCACTCAACTCGACCGGTTTCACCCATCGATAGGTCACATTTTTGTTAGGATTTGTCAAAATCAGAAAGTCGCCCCCATCGGTGCTCTCGCGTACCACCGAAGTCCATGTAGTGTACGATTTCTGAAGAAAAGGTACACTTCTTGGAAAATTTGGACTTGGAAAAAAAAAGAATCACTACATAAGATTGTTTGTTGATTTTGTCAATAAAATAAATCTCATTTCGAACCCTCAAACAAAAATGCTTACTTTTTGCCGATAAGGGGATGCCAACAAGCCAAATGACAATGTCTTTTGGCTTGTTCCGTTTGGCTCGTTGGCATTCCCTTATTATGTCATTATGACATCCCAAATGATAATGATAGCTGTTTTGATGTTAATAGTTAAAAGTAAACTTTTTTATGAGAAGTACTTTAAAATAAACTTGTATTCGATACAATTAACTTTGCAAATGCAAAGAAGCAAAAGAAAAAGTAGTAGGGCGGCCTTTGTCTTTGTCTTTGAGAGTCTTTATCTTCTAACCCACTGCCACTTGACCACTACTGCTTCTTAAAGCCTCTAGGAAATCTGCTTATAAACTCGGGGGTGTGATTTTTGAAATTCCATACAAAACTTTGCATACTTATAACATTGACAGAGTGTTCCGAAATGGAAAGCAAATTCGGAATCGGGGTTAAATTCTGTGTCGAATAACCCGTGACACATGTCATTTGATCACATCCAGTTGACATTCCCTTGTTAGCTTATACGTTTTCATCAAAGAAACCAATCACCAACCCAGGTGAGCATGGTGCCTCGTGGGTGGCATCCTGCAACGACTCCATTGTTGTTATAGGCTCGGCCGAATTTCGCCTTGCCTCGCATATCATACCTAGAAAATATTGTTGTGCCTTTGGTTTTTGTAAAATTCTCTCACCAGACGGAAACATAGCTATTTTGGGTGGTCGAGTCACCGCCCTTAAGCTCTCGATCCATTGCTCGGACAGCATCAGCGGGAAATGGTGCACCATGACGAACGGTTACCCAAACGTCTGTAAATGAATGAGGGAATGGTTATTGTACAAGTAGTACTTGTACAATAACCACTCCTTCATTCATTTACAGTACAATACTTTTACCCATGACTTACTTTCACTTACCCGATTGTGAAATCTTTTGCTTGTCTTCATTTTCTTTTGGCTCGGTCTCATCCACCACAGCTTGCTCATCCAGTTTTGGCTCTCCAATGGCGATCGGGATGCTCACCTCGTTTTTTATACATATTCTTTCTAATAGAAATTGAACGTTAGCAAGATATTAATAGTATCTTTACGCCAACCACTAAAGTCGTAGTTTCTATCTTTCGTTTTAGTAATTCTAGTAACTACCTATTTTGTTGTTATTCTGTAATACTAGTAAATGCTATTAGGTTGATGCAAAAGTCTTTTCGTTTTTTTCGTACTTCTGTTAAAAAGTAACAAATTCACCAATTAATCTATAGTTTGCTCTATAAAAAAAGTGTTTTTTTGTTCAATTTGCATCTTTTTAAATGAATTTCGGTTCACTTTCAAGCAAATTCGAGAGTGAAAAACGCCTTTTTCGTAAAAATCTATAAAAAACTCTACGGAAAAATTGGCTGAATGAATTTCTCTGAAATTTTGGCGAAATATCAAACTTTTTTTTCTCTATCTTTTATCTATTGACACGAAGATAGGTTTTCTTTAGCTAAGGTGTCTAAACCGCATCATCGAGTTAGCCCTTTTTGACTACCCGACTTCATACTCTCAAGAAAATCCAGGCATAAAATATTTTTAAACCCGTTTTAATGTTATTTTGCAGAAAAATAATTGGTTTTTCTAATGAAATCAACCGTAGTTTAATTGGTGCATTTGTTGGCTTGAAACGGCAGACGAAAAGGAACAAAAAGACTTATGCATCAACCTAATAGTACTGCTAGTAAATGTGCCACCCACCTCACCGTACTCCCCATCGCCCACAACACAACAACTGCAAACTCTGAAAACGTAGGCTTCTCCTAGGTTGAGCCCATGGATTATGGCTGTTGGATCGGTATCCATTGTTATAAACAATTGACTTTTTGTCCAGTCCTTCTCTGGTGAGTGTGGCAAGTACTGAACCTTATAAGAGGTGACATTCTCAAGGCCCACGTTCGGCCTATCCCACTGCAGTTTGACAATCGGCTTGTCGGGCTCATTCGGATTCGATTCAATCTGAAACGTCGGCTTTCCGGGTGTCGACGGCAGAGTGAACTCTTTTTTGATCTTCTTTGAAATGTGATGCAAATGTATTTGTGCGCAAAGATCCCCATCTTTTGCCTCCTCGGAGTGAACGACGAACTTCACCGGTTTATCGTGTTGATTGATTTCGGCGAATTTCATGAATGTCATCGCCGTTTCTTTAACAATTGGAAACCAATGATCTTGCCCATGATCTTCTTCTTCGCCTTCTTTATCCGTCGAAATTCGCAGAGCACGAAGATGACTCTCTAAGTGGCGCAGGTACAAATCCGTTTTCCCGGTCACTCGAAAAACCAAAATTAGCACCAAATCGCTTTCCGCATCGTCCAACACACTGTCGACATCGTTTCGCTTCGAGGCAATCGTCACGTTTTTCGATGTTAGACGCTCTTTGAGTTGCTTGATGAGATTGTTCAATCTGTTGATTTCACGTTGTTTCTCGTCGGTCCAATGTTGGAGAAGTGATGGAGCAAATGAGGACTGATTTACTTCATTCAAGAGCTCCACGAACTTCTCCTCGTCTTCCGTACCGCCTCGAATTTTCGGTAAAATGGTTTGCAACTTGCTGCCAAAGTTCAGCTTGAACTCGGCGAGATATTTCTTGAAATCGTTTGCTTGTCGCTTCAATCCCAAGAACATCGGATGACACGATTCGAGGATATCGTTGACTTTGATCTCGGCTTCGTTCAGACCCTCCATGATCGACTCGGTTTCGACGATTCGATTCAAATCGATCTCGCGTACTAGACGAGCAGCTTTGGAGTCCAAATTGACCAACGGGTACAGCCAAACCTTTTTTGGAACCGTCCCACACTTCTCGATGATCGAGGGCAACTCGCGGTAGACCTTCATCGCCTCTTCCAGATTGCTAGGTGGTTGAGGCAACTGGAAATCCCCATAGAACTTGCATCGAAGATTATTGCACAACTCGGTCTCATTTGTCGTCAATTTTCCCTTCCCATCTCCAGTGATCGATTTCTTGACCAAGTTCGCCATAGATGATAGACTACCATCGAGGTCCGTCGTATTCACCAAATTGCCGATATCTTGCTCAAAAATGAATACCGCATCGGCGCCATAGGTGACCCCGGTAACCACGTGAGTGGCCTCGTTTTTCTCGAAAACATCACGGTGTTGAATGTCGTTGGGGCTCATATGGGCCATCGACAGAGTGTCGGTGCGCGATGTCATCGAGTAGGTAAAACTCACTCGCATTTGCTTGTTCGACTTCTTCTGATCGGTCAGATATTTCGCAGATCCCTCCACCTTCAACAACCCACCCAACAAACTCAACTTCAACGAGGCATTTATGTCGAGTTTCTCCGATTTCTCTTTGACCGTGTCCTCGGTGATGAGCTCGGTTTTGACGAAGTTTAGAGGTTCCGAGATGAGCGCATCTTTATCCTTGAGCTTGTCCGGGTTCCATAGAGTGATCGCAGGGATCACATCGTCTCGACGACAATCGTACAGCATGCCCGGCTGGAAAGGGCGGCCGAGGCAAGAAATCGAGATTGAACTCTGTGTCGACATTCACTGAAATTTGGGGGTTAAACCAGGAAGAAGTTCTTTAATGGAAGTCAAATGATAGCCCTTGAAATCTACAGGGTGCCCCAAAATTACCTCCCAAAAAGTACCCCAGCCCCATAATGACGGTGTGGAGCGTTGCGTAGTCTAGCTTTGAACGCGTTTTTCTTGACACTGGTTTATGCTACAATGCGTGCTTAGGTATCAAGAAATAGCTGAAATTCAGGGCTATTTTTTGATTCCAAAAATGCATTTTTGAAAGTACAGGCGCTTTGAAAAAAATGAAATACTAAAAAAACTTCTGCGACTACGTGACTACGAGGCGGTGGGGTACTATTGCAGTATTTATGATAACTAAAATAGAAAAACGCTCTACGCCGAACCGCTTCTAAGAAGCTTTAGTCAAAGTTTTTGTCAGAGACTAAAAAATTTCAAATGAGAACAAAAATCAGTTGTTTGTGAATAGCTTTTTTCAATCCGCAATTTTTTTCATCTAGTTTTATTGATGCACAAACAAAAAAGAGAGATAAGAAGTAAAAGGGATAAAACTTTTTTCGTATACTCGATCTGCAAAAAAACCGAATCTCTCAATAGAGATAAGGCTTGTGCTGCTGGAATGTAAAAAAGCATTCGCTTCCAAATATGAAAAAAATAGTGAAAAAACTGACAAGGAAAGGATGATTGGGTTCCGTGGCCGTTTCCGATGATATATAGACCATTCGACGCAGAATTTTACGCTGATTCCAATAATGCAAAAGTTAGCTGCCGAATGGCGCATAATCACCGCGAAACTGGCATAGAAGTTTTGAGCCTCTCCTTTTAAGCCAATTTTTTTTCGACACAAAACGTCGGTGACCGAGGGGTTGAGTGCTTGTACAGGAAGCTGAGGGTTGAGATTTCGAACCCGAGCCGTCTCATTTTTTTGCTTTTTTCCCAATTCCCAATTTGCATGTCAGATTTCTCGCGTTTCCGTGGCTATTAGCGGCTAATTTTTGTGACGTTTTGTTCGACATTGCCGATTCGCTGTTATGCACTGTGCTTCTAGTCGATTTCGAACGTGGAGCTGAGACCATTCCTTTGTAAGACAAGACAAAGTCGGGCATTTCTGTTTGAAAATAGTCTAAACATACTTTTTCCTTACATAGCTTTGATGAATGCAAAAATCATGACATTACATCACAAACCTTGTTATTCTAACCATAAGTTCTATGATATTTTCGTGCTAACCTGACTGTAAGCCAAATTCTATCATTCCTGGGTCATTTGAAATCGAGCCAACAGTTTATGAAACTTGGCTTAGCAACTAGCGGACCTTGGGATTTGGGAGTTTGGATGATTCCTGTAACTCACCGAGCACGCCGCCTTAGATCTAGAGTATGTTCCTCACGAGTAATGCGTTTTTTAAAACGCACCTTTTGGAAGAACTACCGTACTTTTGGCGAAAATTATCGCAAAAAATTGGCGCAAAAAATCACGAGCGACGAGTTATATACGACTCTTTTTAAAGATATTCAGCCGTTTAACTGATTTAGTGGCAAATTCCCGTCACATGTAAAGATATTCAATTTACTCGACGTGTAAAGAGGATTACTCATAGTTACTCGACCAAAAAACGTCGATTAGTCGAGTAAAAATTACTCATGCAGATTTTATTCGAGTAATTACTTACTCACGAGGAACGCACTCTACTAAGATCCAGAAACAGTCGACGTGCACTTGAAAGTTTTCGTCACACATTTGCATTTTTGCCCATGTTTACTGAAAGTTTTTTATATATTGTATCCGATTTGGATTGAACTCACCGCGGATATCCGATTTGGATTGAAACATTATTTCACAGTAGGGTGTCATGTTTTTAAAAGCTTTTTAATCATTTTCTAGAAATTTTATAGAGGTTTAACTCTGGCAACCTAGAACAGTCCGTTAGCACCACCTTTGCCCAAAAAAGGCTTTCCTGTATTTTAATGTGAATTCAATTCAAAACCCTTTATTTAATTAGCGGCAACTGTATCGTAAATGAAAATAATCATAAACAATAAAATAACGGGTTAAGTAAGCAAATTGATGAAACTACACCTTAAACTTTAAAAACAATTTAACTAAACAAAATGTAATGGTGACAATGTAAAGAAAAACATGAAAAAAAACAACTATTTGTTCTTGCAACTAAGACTGTGATGGCATCTGGAGTTGCAGAGGAGACCACTTTTTTTTGCAGGCACATCGGTTTGACGAACATCCACCAGTGCATAAGCAGTGTCTGTGACCTATACGTACCCATCAGTTAACCAAATAAAATTTAAAACTACCTTGCTTCCCGTGGACCGAAGATTCACCAACGGCAGCACGAAAAGAAGTCGTTCGATCGGGAACATCAGCGACGGAAATGAATTCCGTTTCACAAGGATGAAGCTGATTTCGTGAAAAAATTTGTAGTTCCGATTGAGTAAAGGTCATCGACCACTAAAAACAGTTTAAAGAACTATTTAGCAAAGCTAACCTTTCGTGACGATACCCATGAGATTGCTATGTCCAATTTTCGGACGATCGACCGGATCAATGGCAATTCGCACATTATCTTCCACATTTACAGGATGAAATCTAAAATCGTAGATTTAAGCACAAAACAACTAGGTTTAGAACAGATAAAAAATGCAAAAAAAACAAAACAAACCGTTGTTTGGAAGCAAGTAACATCTTTTCAGCTTGTTTTTCTTGACCGGCTCTGGCGCCTTCCCGCTCAAAAGCGATTGTTCTATCATGGTTAGCGAAATCAAATTCTTGTGTAACTAAATTAAAATGTAGAAAACAAAAAAAATTAAAATAAACTTGATCCGTTACTGTTCTCGGCCAATACATTGTCTTCATTCGGAGAAATAATTTCTTCAGCATTTGTTTCAGTCACCTCAGGGCTGTCTGGATTCTCAAAAGCAACACTAAAAGAAAACATTTTAAGTCAATTATTTATTTAAATAATAGTTTGAAAATCTACCTGCTTTCATTCGCATCGTCGTAATTCTTTCCAAACATAGCGGCGAATGGCGACCTTTTGATTCCATGATGATAACGTCGATTTTTTTATTAATTGAATCATCGGAAGAAATTCTGCCCATTTTGAAGTATTCCGGTCCCGCTGGTATGTGCACAAGATGTTCTTAAAATTTAAGATTAAAAAAACATTTAAGAAAGTGGCTACCTCGATGTCGGCGTTAGCTCGTTCCACACTTCCTTGTGATTGAGAATGACGAGGTTGTCCGCGAACAACTTTGCAGTGGCCCCACACATTGACCAACTCGTCGGTCCATTTGTTGACAAATTCTCTACCATTATCTAAACTTCTCAAAAATTATAAAAATCTTGCAAAATAAACCGGAATGCAAAATTTTTGGCGGTCCAAAAATTCCAAAGATCATCGCGAGTTGATCGCATACTTCTTTTGCCGTTTTTGTTTTCAACGGCCTCAACGTCACAAATTTTGTCAAATGATCCTAAAGCACAGTTAGGAAATGTTACATTTAAATAATACTTGGTATACTAAGATGAACTTAAATTCGCCATCCGGAGTTGATTGAAGGTCAATGAGATCGATTTGACACCTTTCATTCTGTCTTTGTGTCCGTATTGGTTTCACCACGACTGTTCTCTTTGGATTTTGACGCTTCATTTCGCATTCTTCGCAGAGGTTGACGAATAGGGCAATTATTTCTCTAAAAGAAGGTAAAGAAAAAGCACAGCCAATTACATACTTTGAAACACCATAAAATTCTCTGAGTCCTTTCCACATCACGCATATCCCTGCATGTCCAAGTTTAACATGCGTTTTGTAAAGAATATTGAAGAGTTCTTCTTGTGGAATTACTCGTTGCCTTTCTGGTTTGCTACCGGCTTTCCGTCGTTCGTCTTCGTGATAAAGCGTGACTTTCGTGTTTTCGATTGAAAGAGTGTATCGCTTCAGCAAGTTGGCTTCATGATAGTTAATTTTTGAGGTCTCCAGTGTTGAATCGTTAAAATTTTTAATTTTATCAACCATCAGCTTGTAGATTTCGGCTGTCGGAATTTGGCTCGTCTTTTTTCGCTCCAAGAAGCTGTTGAATTTCTCTCCATCTGTAAAACAACAACGTAAAATAAGGTAAACAGCATAAAGACATAAAAAAAATACAGAAGCATGTCAAAACGCGTAAATAAACTACTTTTTTGGGCAAAGGTGGTGCTAACGGGCTGTTCTAGGTAGCCAAAGTTAAACCTCTATAAAATTTCTAGAAAATGATTAAAAAGCTTTTAAAAACATGACACCCTACTGTGAAATAATGTTTCAATCCAAATCGGATACAACATATATATTTTTCTGATCTCTTTCATTTTTGGTAAATTAGACACCACTCGCTACATTTTGCTACCAAAACGATTTCATTTGGTTCAGTGGACAAAATTTTGATCAGGAATCAAAGATTTCACGAGAAACTCTAATTTCCGGACTCTAAATTTGCTAAAATTTTGCTAAAATTAAAAACTAATGCCGGTTTCGTTTTTTACAATCTACAATCCAAGAAGCAAAGTTCCAGCTTTGCAGCTTGCAAAAAAGGCTTTCAGTTCCTAATCTCTCAAGTGGCTCTTTATGATGTCTGTCTCAAAGTTCTGTTGAGTTTTAAATATGAAAATGATTTATTTGAATGACTTTTTGAAATGAGAAAATAGATGAACATGTAAAACGGTTTCAATGCTTCTTTTTAGTGATCTCATTCAGCCTGTGCTTGAGCTCTTTGGGGCTTTTCTCGGTGAGCTTCTCATTGTCAAGATCAAGATCTCTTCCGATTTCCATTTCACGTGGCAAGATCAGGCCCAAAAAGAGAAGCCATTCATTCAGGTGATTGTCCAAATCATTTGCTTGCTCGTAAATGATCGAATTCTCTTCGAGCATTAAAACCAAATTCTTCACTCCATCGTCGAGCTCTTCGATGGCGGCTTGAGTTTCAACGTCATTCTCTAAATTTTGAATTTCCTTGACCAATCAAATCCCTAAAAATATCAATAAGTAGCTCTGTAGAACTTTTGGTGATCAGCTCTTACGATCTTCGTTAGTCCTGATTCTTTTTTTAAAGGAGTTCTAGGTTTTTGAGTAGAATATGAAAATGATTTTCAGCGAAAAGCACTAGAAAAGCCTGGTAATCTCATTATTTTCCATTATCAGTTTAGGTGTATTGGCTAAAATTACAAAGGCCATCAGATTCTTTAGGATCTTCAAGATAGAGTTGTTCACCGCTTGTCTTCAAATTCTCTCGAGAATTCATCCGCAGAAATGACCATAGAGGTCCTGAGAGCATGAAATAAAAGCATGAAATTCGAAATCAGTCTTTCCAGTCGAAATCAGTCTTTCCAGAAATGTTGCCACAGTCGTCCTGATTGTGTCATCTTAATTTATAATTGTCTCTGAAAAAAGTTACAGAACCTTAACGTTACCAAATGCTATCTGCTAAAAGTAACTTATTTTGTGGTGATGTAACTTTTGTGGTAGGTTGATGTACTCTGAGGTGATGTAACTTTTTCAGAGACAATTATAAATTAAGACGACACAGTCAGGACGACTGTGGCAACATTTCTGCGTCAAAAAAGAGCCAACATAATAGGCAACAAACAACCTAAGGTGCAGACTTTAGACAGCCCCTCAAAACATTAAGTTGTCTAAAGCCTCTGCAACATCGGTGTAGAGCCTATAAATTCTTGTTCTTCTTGTACATGTTGTACATGTACAAGAACAACACTTGTTATAGATAAATATGCGCTTGTTTTGGATAAATCTCGGTTTGCAAAATTGAAATTGACATTCCTGGATCCAGCAGAAAAAGGCGCCCGTGTGATGTTGCCTTTTATCGAGATTCTGTGCAAGAATAGAATCGAACATAAAGAATTTTAGATGATCTTTTACCACAAAAGTCACAAACCACGATATCAAAAATCTTTTTTTTTTAAATCTTCTTAAAGATTCTAAATTTTGAGATAATTCTGCGTCAAGTAGTGCTATCAGTTTTTTGGTGCAACCATTTTTGTAAACAAACCTCAAAAAGCCTCTTAAAGCTCGTGGGTATCGGTATAAATCAATTACTATGAGTAAATTGTACATTTAATAACTTTGTTTTGTTTTGTAATAACTTTATAAAGCGGTGATAAATTTATAAGGCAAACCTAAAAACCAAACTTGTCCGGAAAACGGTAGAGAACCAAAAGAAACACGGGGATAGCACCTATCAGAAAGGGGAATTTCTTGCGAAAAGAATTGCTGACAAACAACTTTCGATAAGAAAATTTGGGATGTAAGAGTTTCTTGGTATGGTAGAATAGAAAAAGCTATTTTTCCGAAAGATTTTCAAGTAAACAACCTCTCTGTGTTCATTGAAAAAGGGTCATAAAATGACTCAATCAGAAAAAACCAAAAAAGAAGAAAAAAAATGGTACAAGGAACTCTTTATTACAAACTTCAGGGTTTTCTTGCTCACAGTGGGGAGTTTCTTGGAATTGTTTTTTGAAGATAAGACCTGGGGCTCTTCTTTTTTACGAACCTATCGTAGTTCAGCAATTTTATGACTAAATTTTTGGCCTTTTTGCCTTTTTGCTTAAAGCACGTATAAATACACCACCCCGCTTTCGATAGGTTCAACTCAAACTGAAAAGCTCGATGAGGGTCCTTTCTGCTTTGCTGTTTGTAATTATTCTTTTCGATCAATGGTAAGTGGTTTCTTTACTAGTTTGATAGATTATTCGAATCTAGTCGCGCTCAAGAATTAAATGCTCAAGGATCAAATGCTCAAGGATCAAATACTCAAGAATTAAATGCTCAAGGATCAAGGAGTTTGGCGCTTAAACAGGCGTTCGATCATGAGCTTCAAACGTCAAAGAGTGCAAGTCTTGTCGAAATTTTGGGCAAATTTCAAGATTCGAGGGTTTTGTGTAGAAATGTTCTCTAAAAACAAATTTTGTGTCTATTTTGAGTGTAACATATTTACTGAGCCTGATGAGGTTTCATTGCATGCCGAAGACCTCAAAATTGTCCGATAAACACTTGATCTAGGACATTGTTATAGCCATAATGTTGTCTTCAGATTTTCCATATCGTTTGTTATATCTAAAATAAACGTACGGTCTATCCTTCTCTCTTAGTATTTCGGCTTAAAATTGTAGTCTTTACATTGCTCTAGAAAGTCCTTGAACTACATTTATATTTTACATAAATTAGTTATGGCTTTTTTGGAGTCATAGTTTTCTCTACTCTTCAATATCTTCAAAAAAGATTTTAATCAAAAAGCTAGCAACAAGTTTATTTTCTATGAGTCAACCAATTTTAGCTTGCAATTGTCGAGGTGTTGGCCACTTGTAGTCATTTGGGGAGTTGCCAGAACATTCTCTTTGAGGCGCCAATGTCCGTGATTTTGATAAACAATCTGGCGGTGCTCGCGTCCACCGTGGATGACACAAAGCTGACCCTGCCGACAAATGGCACTTTCATCTACTTGAAATACGACTACTTCCACGTGGCGCTCCTTCAAGTGGCGACGAGCATGAGTGATGCCTTCCGCTTTGCCCACTCATCGATGATCACCATCGATCAAACGCTTAACGATTTGCCCTCTGTGCTCATCACCACCATTCGACGTGCCACACAAGTTCGTTTCTTGAAGCTCATTTGAAAAGGTAAAAAAATTTATAAAGTTCTTGAATTAACCAGTTTTGTTAAAGGTCGAGTCAAATACACTTCAAAATTCTATCAACATAATTGTCTCATAATAGCCTAAACAAAATAATGAACTTTCTTCTTCTGTCTCTAAATAAGCACGTCTTATGAAGTTTTCTTTTACTCTACTTACTACAGTCCGTTTCATATTTCTTTATCCCCCCCGCCCAAAAAAAAGAGGTTTTATGGAGAATGGGTGGAGATATCGAGCTATTTTCTTTTGCAATAGAAAGGCCACATTGTAATAACCTAAAAACACCGTTTTTGGGTTACTGGATTTTCTCAACAAAAAAAACTAACGAGGGAACTACAGCTACTTACCACCTCAGATCGACTCCAAAATTACAGGGGGGAAAGATCATCACAAAAGAAGAATTTTCTGAGATTTTTAGCTGCTAAATGCCAGAACTAACTGAAATATAAGGTTTCAAAGTTCAGAGTAGCTTAAACTTAAACATTTTTGGGACTTGCACGGCACTCTTTAAAGGGAACTCTCACAGGCACTCTCACAGGTTAGCCGAGTGGCCGAGTGGTTAGGAGCGCGACCTGGTACTCCGAGTGTCGCTGGTTCGGCTCCACCCCAAAAGTTTTTCTGTTTTTGCAAAACCACATAATGTGCGTTCTATTTTTTTTCGCTTTTTAAAGTTTATTCTGATTTTTTTTACCATAAAAGGTGAGGATAACAAAACTTTATTTAAAACTAATAAACCACAAACAATTCAACAACGGTGGAAAGATTCGACAAAATGAAGGAAGCAGAATATATTCAGACAATAAGCACAACGAATGTACGGCATATTATCGCAATTTATCTTATTACATGCACCAATCAAATCTCCTGGGCAGCAAAAAGTTGCTGGTGTCACATAATGAGGAAGTACATCATCAATATAATGAGCGCTTTTCCAGGCTTCGAGCATGCATGAGACAAAACGTGGCGCCCGGAACTGGTGGTAGATCTGACTGATCATCTTCAGGATAGAATCGCGTTGGCTCACTTGGAAGTCGATTTTGGAGGCAATGACGTGTGCGGTCAACTTTTTCACAAACGACTTGAAGAGCCGGAAGAAATGAACATCCAACGGTTGAATCTGCGACGTCGCTCCAGGTGGAATGCGTTTCAAAATGAGCTCCTCGCCAGCTGGGACCGTTGCTTGAATAGAGGCTTGATCACGAAATGAAGTCCAGGAGTCGACGAGAAGCATCAGTTTAGATGGCATAGCTGGACAGCAGACGATATCCCGGAACCACTTGAGCATCAGCTCCTTGGTCATGATATGGGACTTGGCTGCCTCCACCATCAAGTTGTCGGTTTGAAAGATCCCTCATTGTGGAAAACGACTATCTTCCTCCTGCATCACGATAAAGAGTTTGTCACCGAGTCGTCCATCCGCGTCGATCAGGGGCATCATGGTAAACGAGTGAGATGTTGCCGACACACTTTGAACGACGCGGATGACTTTCTCACCTTTTATGGTAAAAAAAATCAGAATAAACTTTGAAAAGCGAAAAAAATAGAACGCACATTATGTGGTTTTGCAAAAAAAGAAAAACTTTTGGGGTGGAGCCGAACCAGCGACACTCGGAGTACCAGGTCGCGCTCCTAAACACTCGGCCACTCGGCTAACCTGTGAGAGTGCCTGTGAGAGTTCCCTTTAAAGAGTGCCGTGCAAGTCCCAAAAATGTTTAAGTTTAAGCTACTTTGAACTTTGAACTTTGAAACCTTATATTTCAGTTAGTTCTGGCATTTAGCAGCTAAAAATTTCAGAAAATTCTTTTTTTGTGATGATCTTTCCCCCCTGTAATTTTGGAGTCGATCTGAGGTGGTAAGTAGTTGTAGTTCCCTCGTAAGGAAGAAGATTCTGCGACCGTTTCACATTTCTTTATCCACCCTTAGGAACTTTGAAAATCAACATTTATTTAGCATTAACAACAAATAAAAAAGACATCAAGAATTGTGAACATAACAACTAATAATCTGATATAGCACCGGACCGGTTAATAACTTGATAGATTCGCTTATTCATACTTTTGATAAGGTTTTGGAGAGCCGTGGCGTCAATACGATTCCAGGCAATCTGAATTGATGCTTTTAGTTCCGAAACGGTCGTAAATTGTCTCTTATGTTTGTAAAAATCCCTGACAAGAATGCCCCACAGGTTTTCAATGGGGTTAAGATCCGGGGATCGTGCTGGCCAGTCCAAGATGTTGATTCCCTGCGAAGTCAACCAGGCTTTTGTCTGAGCGGAGCGATGAATTGAAGCATTGTCATGCTGAAAAGTGTGGGCAGTCGCGACATTTTGTTGAATGAATGGCAGAAGAGTATCTTTGAGCACTTCAGTATAATCTTGACTTTTCATTTTGCTGGAGACCAATTTCAAAGCGACCGTTTCATTGGCGCAACACATCACAAAAGGAGGCCCAACACATCACACTTCCTCCTCCGTAGTTACGTGTTCCGAATATCAGTGGATTCTGTCACAGGTCTCTCCAGTAATGCGAAACACCGTCTGGTCCGTCAAGATTCCATTTTTTTTCATCAGAAAAGATACCTAAATAAAAATCGTCATTTCAGAGTACAGCATTTCCCAACCTTGCTCCAATCAAAGTTCATATGATTTGCAGCAAAGTCTAGACGGGCTTTTCTTGTGCTCTTGCTTTAAGGCAGGCTGTTGATTTAGGAATGAATGCAATTGTGATTGCGGCCCAACAGCTTTGCGATTTCTCGAATACCCTTCTTGTCGATCTTGTAGGCATCAATCTGTTCCTTGTCGTAACCGGAAAGCACTTTCCAACGTCCCATTTTCTAAAATGATAACAAATAATTACAAAAATAAAAACAAATTTAAGAAAAGCAAAAAAATGAATAGTAACATAAGCGTTGATTTTCAAAGTTCCTAAGGGTGGATAAAGAAATGTGAAACGGTCGCAGAATCTTCTTTCTTAGTTTTTTTGTTGAAAAAATCCAGTAACCCAAAAACGGTGTTTTTAGGGTATTACAATGTGGCCTTTCTATTGCAAAAGAAAATAGCTCGATATCTCCACCCATTCTCCATAAAACCTCTTTTTTTGGGGGGTGGATAAAGAAATATGAAACGGACTGTATCTATGTAGCAGAAATTTTAAATTATTGATTTAGATATCGAAATAATTACTTTTTTTAATAGAGATATATGTACTTATCCAATACTTTTGCTTTACTTTACCTTACATATAGTATACTTATATGCATATAATGTAGGGTGACAATAAGTAATGGAGAAAAACTTTTTAGCCCATAAAAATTTAATAAAAAGATAAAACTTTATTTTGAGTAACAAATAACATTTAACAAGTGTCAATTATAACTTATCTTTGATCATTTTCGAAATATCGATTCTTTGTCCGGATACAGAGCTTGAGACGCTTAGTGAAATTTTCGGCAATGGGCCACAGCTCTCCGATGGTGATTTTGTTCTATCCCGGCTTAACGAGCACTTCAAAATGTCCAAACTTTTGTGGGGTTTAGCACAGGCCCTGGGCTCTAAAATTGACCATACATTGTGATTCAGCGGGTTGTACACTGTGACACTGTGACATACACTGTGACACATGAATGGGGGGGCACTCTTGAGCCGAAATGAAGACCGGAAGGTTGGCCTTGCACCAATCCTGCGTGCCCTTTGCCCTATGGGAAGGTGCGGAGTCCTGTTGAAAAGCCCAAACTTGATTGCCGAAGTGCTGTTCGGCCCAGGGACGAACGACCTCTTCAAGAATTTCCTTTTGATAAACACCTTTATTGATTTTTACTTCTGAATCAATGAAAACCAAAGGAATTTTTGCCCGTCGCGCAAATAGCCGCTCAAACCGTCACAGATTTCGGATTTTGGCGATGTTGAACGTTTGCAGAGTTGTCGGAAGAGCTCTTTGACCAAATTCAATCCTTTTGGCAGTTGTTCAATCCACCGAGAAGAGCTTCTCATCGGAGAACAAGATCCGCTTCCAATTCGGCGTTACGGCCCGCTTGACCAATTCGCGGCATCTTTTGAGTCGAATCCGTTTGTGATCATCGGTGTCGAATCGGTGAGCATTTGTCCTTGTTTGAGCTTGTATGGACGAAGGTTTAGACCTTTTTCAGCAACCATTCGGATAGTTTCTCGATTAACTTTGATATTCCTGACGACTTTTCAGAGTGAGATCCTCAAATTTCGCTTGATTCGCTTCTTGATCACTTTTCGATTCCGGGGTGTGTTTACAGTTCGCTTCCTTCCTCTGCCGAGTTGATTCCCATCGTGACCAAGCTCCTCAAATTGTTTGATCGCTTTCGAAACGGTTTGAAGGAATACACGCATCTCACCTTGACGATTTCCGTCACGATGAAGATCCAAAATAGCAGTGCGAAACTTGCTCATCCTAAAAACATAACAATTCAATCTTTTAGATAAAAATTCAAGAATAAAATAATACAAACGGATTTAAATTGATTATTTTTCGGAAAAACTCTAAGATCCAAGTACTTATACAAAAGTACGCGATAGAAAAAGTTTGTCTCCATTATTTATTGTCATCCTGTAATAGACGAAGTCACAATGTGACTTGGAGTCACATTGTGATTTCGGAATCCAAAATTTTGCAGTAGAGCATTTTTCCTGCACCATCAAAAAATATGTTTGCCAACAACAATGCAAAACAAAACAATTTAGACTACTGACGAGAGAAAAATTGCTATATATCAAGGCCGACTCAAACGGCGGCTCGAAAGTGCAATTGAAACTTGTGCCGAAGTCGCTAATAGCACTTACAACGAATTTAATCTTGTGGTCGAAGTAATCACCGAGCTTATGCTTGCCACAAGTGCTTCAGACAAAAACAATAAAGAAGAGACGAAACGACTTAAACTGGAATTGGAAAACTTGAAGAAACAAGAGGAAACGGTGCGAGACATTTTGAAATTGGAAAGGCAAAGACAGGATGAAGCAATGAATGAAAAAAAAGCGGCTCTTCAAACTTACAAGGTAGCCTTTATTGAGTACTTGAAGGAAATTCTGTTTTTTTTTTTTTGAAAAGTTTAGCAAGCCTTTTTTAAAACAACAATTGAACCCTTTGAACAAAATGTCAGAAATGTAAAATTTATTTTCCAGGACCAATTCGATGCAACTGGGCACGTTGGGAGGATGTGGGGCGCTGCCGGCATTGATATTCTCAACAATGTCGCAGGACTCTTTATGAGTTCGGCGGGAAATGCACTTGCTGGTCGAGTCGCACAAACATCGAAAGTGGCTTTTGGAGCTGCAGAGGCGACAAAGAGCGGTACCGCCGCTGGCGCTGAGGCAAAGAGTGGTTCCAAAGCTGTGGATGCTCAAAAGACCGAAGGAGCAGATGGTGATCAAGCCGGCAACTCCGAAGGATCGGATTCAATTTCAAACGGACTATCAGCGGTGACAACTCTGGCAAAACAAGATCTCGTAAGTTTGCCCCAAAAACGCTTCCCCAAAAAAATAAAAATGAAGCTTGAGTTTATAATCACTTAACTGGGAAATTTGGCAACGAAAAAATAACTAGCCATTTTCGCAAAATGAAGATTTGTGAACTCGATATATTTAGATAAAGTTGAAACATGCTGAGCGCAACTTGGCAAGAGCGAACGCAAATGAGAAGGCGCAACATGAGAAAAGTATCAAGAAACAAGAAGAGCTTGGAGAATTGATTCAAAAAATGCAGTTGCACAACGTGGAAATGGCGGATTACGAGAAAGTGCTCCCAATCATGGAGGAGGCCGTGCGGCATCTAACTACTGTGGGCTATGCTTTTTTCAGAAAGAATTTCAAGGAGATTATATAAAGGCTCTAAACTTTTGATGACAATATATACCTAATAGGAATCATTTTAGGTTCGTAAACAATGGCGGGACATGAGCTCATACTTTCTTTCAATGAAAGAAGTCATTGTTAATGCGATACAAAAGAAAAATCTGCCTCAAGATATCATCGAAGATTTTGAATTATCGGAGGTTGGTTTTTGAAATAATTTTTGACTAGAAAATATGATTTTCAACCAGAGATCTGTCAGAGATTTTTATATTCACTAAAATAATGTATCAAGAGAATTGATGTTAATTAAGAATTGATGCTAATTAAGGGAAAGGCCACTTTGATTCACCTAGATTCCTTGAAAATTTAGGCATATGACCTTGAGCCTCTTTGGAGAACTCAAGAGTTTTTCTTATTTTTTGAAACATTGAATATCTAGTTTCAAAACATAAAACATTTGCTCTATTAAAAACCATGGAACTACCCATAAACAAACGAATTTGTGCTATTATAATTCTAGTACTAGATTGTAAGCATTTAATTTAAATTAATTTAATTCATTAAATGCGATCGATGTTAATTTCTCTTTTAGGACAAGCTCCTTGAGGCGGAGACAGCCGAAACACTTCTGCGCCTTGTCGGCTATTGTATTCAAGTGGAGAATGCAGCCAACTTGTACATAAAAGTCTCCACAAATTACATTTTCCCGGTGCTTGGACGTCTCGGGTCTCGATTTACTCTTAAAATCAACGAAGTGAAGGCGAGTTGCTTGTGCATTTTGAACAAGAACAAAGAAAACTAAATGCTACTACTGTAACATTACTGTTGAAAAATTTTTACTAAAAAGTTATAAGTCATTGATGCTTAATCTGCCCAAAAACGTAAGAGCAACTGGAGAATAAAAGATAAAAGAAATATGATTTTCTCAAAATTTAGGATGAACAAAAGCAATTTGAGGCTCAATACAACAAGACAATGGACGGCGTGAGGGATTTTGTGAATGTAGAGAAGAAGAACCTTGAAAGTCGCTTTCAGGAACAAATGGCCACTTACACAAAAAGTCTTTCTGGCTTTATGTCGCCCCGTCGAATCACTCGCTCACATTTCCATTTCACATAAAACTTTATTTCTTTATCTCTTCTTCGCTTCAGCAAAACTTTTTGTCGGCTTGATCTATTCAATATTTTTTGTGTTCAATTTTTATTTTCTATTGTACAATGATTCCAAATAAACAAAGACAAATTTCAGTATTTGGCATCGAAACTCTTCTTTCCAAGAACTGTTATTTGAGGGATCGGCAAAGATGTTCTGGGCCTCATTGCTTATCCCTCTTGGCCACATTGCTCTGGCTCATCAACTTCAACATTCGAATCCCTTGAGTCAGAAAGCGTATGAAACATTGGAAGGAATCCATCGCAATTACATTTCCCAGAAAAGCGATTTTGATCAGGCTGAAGTTTCATACAACAAGGTGGGAGACTTTGTTCGCTTGAACTAATTCACGTCAAATCTGAATAGAATCTGAATACAAATTATTATTTACATGTCCATTTCTTTCAGCTTGTTTCCGACGCACACGGAATGGTCATTTCAGATGAAATCTTCAATAACATCAACAATTTGATCTCTCGTCTTAGTTCAGAAAAAAACGAACTCGAAGGATTCCTGGAAAAAGTTGGCAATCAACGATTGACCATTTTGAACAAAAAAGAGGAACAAACACGTGAAAAGAAGCGACTAGAGAATGAAGTATCACAGATGAGAATGAGATTGAAAACCCTTGACATCAATTACGAGAATGAGCGTCGTTACTATCATCAGGTCTCTTAATTCTTAGAATTAGATTCAATAAATTCCAGGTAATAAACGAATGCAACCAAGAGGTGGAGAGACGCAACGAGATGATTTCACAACGTGACACCGGAACGGGAATGATGATTGGAGGTTCAATTTGCATTGAAATAAAAATACCTTTTATACTTTGGCCAATTATTTTAGGCATCATTTTTCCGCCTCTGCTCATTGCTGGTGCTGTGAAACACGGAATGGCACAGAGTAAATTAAACGTGTTGGAGCCAAGACTTGGCCAACTCTATTCGGCACTCGAAAACTCTCGCTGTGAGTGAAAAAGAGACGAAAAAAGTAGTGTTATTCCATCAAGAGACAAAAGCGGGCAGGATCACTTTTAAAACTTCTCCAAAAAGTTCTATTGTACTTTCTTTAAACGTTCAATGAAAACTCAGTGATCACTCTCAGAGATTTGAATGAAAACTTTCAGTGATCACTCGGAGATTTGAAAGAGATTAAAAGTTCAAGTTATCTAGCTTCTAGACACTTAAATTTCTAGTGAAATTCAACAGCTATGTGAACGAAATCAACGCGAAAGCCCATGCCGTTGCACAGCTAGAAGAAACTACTGAATATTTGTCGGATGAAGTGATTCCGGCAATTACGATGGTCTTCACTCTGACGAATGCAATGCACGTCCAACTGAACGCATGGATTACCGATTTGAGCGAATCGAAAGCACGTGCGATTCGACTTCGAAGCAACATTGATTTCGATGATGATACACTTACCAGGAAAAGTCTCAGTGCACTACGAAACCGGCTGATGATGAATTCATGTGGCCAAAAATGGCGTCATTTTGACGGATACTGCTATCATATATCAGAGGTTTGATATACAAAGTATCTAAATGGATTGAAGATTTTTGAAAAAAAACAATCTTCAGTGTTACAAGAGATATATGGCACAAGAGCCCCAATTCATATAACATATATTTCCCCCTTTCTCTGCTTTGAAAACAGAAGATCGGGGGTTCAATTCCCGTTCGGAAACTTTCTTTGTCAGTCCTTCTTTGACTTCTTTATTTCAAGCGTACGACCCTTTTCTAGCATCATTTTAGGGCCCAATTAAATTCTGGCAGACCCAAGAAAACAATTTGCATTTCAGAACGTACTCAACTGGGATGAAGCTAACGATTGGTGCAAGGGAATGAACGCCAATCTTGTCTCGATTCACAACGAAAGAGAAAATCGTTTTGTTTCAAGTTTGATCCCTTGGACGGGGCGTGATGCGTGGATTGGTTTAACGGTTTGCATGTAAAACAAAACCTAAAATTTTATGACAAAACTTGTTTCACAAATGACAAAACTTGTTTCACATTAATTGTTGAAGCTTATTCCGTAATTCTAAGACTTCCGGTTTCAAAAACAAAAAGAGAAGGGAAAAAATTGAGACAAAAATACATTTGCATTGATTTTAAAACGATTCTGATCGTAAAAATGGCATAGCGTCTTAGTTCGACGGCAATAGATGGACATGGACTGATGGCACCACTTTTAATTACAACAGCTGGAATAAAGGAGAACCAAATCGACTCCAAACAGAGCATTGGGTAGAGGTAAGCTCATCAAAAAAATAACAAACCTCAGCAAAACCATTTTGAGATGTATCAAGATGGGATTTGGAACAACAACCTCAAAGAGTATGGCAAGAATCTTGCACTCTGCAAAAAGAAGAGAAGCTAGGGAAAATGATAAATTCTTTTTGAATTTCTCGCTTTTTTCCTTCTTTGCGACTTCTGTAGAAATTTTTTCAACAAAACCTTCAAATTGTTTTTTTCCTTTTTTAACTTTTGTTTTAACTTTTCTACTGTATTTGTTTAAAAAATAAACCAAACAGTTTTCAGGGATTTGATTTGGAAACAAATTTTGACCTCTGAGACTATTATTTGACAAAGATGAACACCTTGCACTCTGTCATCAATTTTCTGCTGTTGCTGCAGTCAGTCGAAAAATTTCTTTCTAATACGAATCCATTTTCAGTGCCACCTTTGGACATTTAAATCAACAACAATCTCAAGAGGAAACCCTGCCGGAAGTAGGCTGGTCTGAGATGCACTCAACTCTCGTCACTCAACAACACCAAGCTCAGCAATTCGCCCAATCCACAGCTTTGCTCAAGGAGGTAAACTTCAAATGTTAAATTCATGCTTTTCAAAATCTAACAGACTTAACGATTTTTCTTCCAGCTAGTTTCGACCTTGGAAGAAATGCTCAAATCGGATGATTTTGAGGCCAGAGTTTTCATCGACATCCGCAATTTGATTTCTCGCTTGGGCTCAGAGAAAAACGAAACCGAACAGTTTTTGAAAAAAGTCGATAATCAGCGGTTGACCATTTTGAACAAGAAAGAGGAACAAATGCGTGAGAAGAAACGGCTAGAAGATGACGTGCCAAAGATTAGAAACCCAAGAAACATTCAAAGAGACTATGAGAATGAAGAGGTTAATGTTTTGAGTGGAAACTAAATTTGAGTTGTTTTAGAGGTCGAGTGAAACAGAAAATGAAGGCAACCAATATGAGCGCGGATCTAGAGTGATTAGAGGTTGAATTTGAAATGCAAAAAACTTGACTAGAGCTTTGGAGTGTTTGAAGAAAGTGTAGAAATTGTAAGTGAGGGAAAGGCTGATTTCGAATTTCATGCTCTCAGGACCTCTATGATCATTTCTGCATCGAGCAGCGTGAGCTGCTCGACGCGGATGAATTCTCGAGAGAATTTGAAGACAAGCGGTGAACAACTCTATCTTGAAGATCCTAAAGAATCTGATGGTCTTTGTAATTTTAACCAATACACCTAAACTGATAATGGAAAATAATGAGATTACCAGGTTTTTCTAGTGCTTTTAGTTGAAAATCATTTTCATATTCGACTCAAAAACCTAGAACTATTTAAAAAAAGAACCAGGACTAACGAAGATCGTAAGAGCTGATCACCAAAAGTTCTACAGAGCTACTTATTGATATTTGTAGGGATTTGATTGGTCAAGGAAATTTTAAATTTAGAGAATGACGTTGAAACTCAAGCCGCCATCGAAGAGCTCGACGATGGAGTGAAAAATTTGGTTTTAATGCTCGAAGAGAATTCGTTCATTTACCAGCAAACAAATGATTTGGACAATCACCTGAATGAATGGCTTCTCTTTTTGGGCCTGATCTTGCCAAGTGAAATGGAAATCGGAAGAGATCTTGATCTTGACAATGAGAAGCTCACCGAGAAAAGCCTCAAAGAGCTCAAGCTCAAGCTGAATGAGATCAGTAAAAAGAAGCATTAAAACCCTTTTACATGTTCATCTATTTTCTCATTTCTAAGTCATTCAAATAAATCATTTTCATATTTAAAACTCAACAGGACTTGGAGACAGACATCATAAAGGGCCACTTGAGAGATTAGGAGTGAAATCTTCGATTCCTGATCAAAATTTTGCCTACTGAACCAATTAAAATAGTTTTGGTAGCAAAACGTAGTGAGTGGTGTTTACTTTACCAAAAATGAAAGAGATCAGAAAAATATATAAAAAACTTCCAGAAACCACTTCCAAGTGCACGTCGACTGTTTCTGGATCTCAGTAGAGTGCGTTCCTCGTCAGTAAGTAATTGCTGGAGTAAGATCCGCATGAGTAATTTTTACTCGATTAATCGACGTTTTTTGGTCGAGTAACCACGAGTAATCCTCTTTACACGTCGAGTAAATTGAATATCTTTACATTCATTTCATTTTTCTCGGCTGAAATTTTTCTCGGCTCGATTTCAAATGACCCAGTAATGATAGAATTCGGCTTACGGTCCGATTAGCACAGAGCTTATGGCTAGACTAACAAGGTTTGTGATGTAATGTGATGGTTTGTGTATTCATCAAAACTATGTAAGGAAAAAGTATGTTTAGACTTTTTTCAAACAGAAATGCCCGACTTTATCTTGTCTTACAAGGGAATGGTCTCAGCTCCAAGTTCGAAATCGACTAGAAACACAGTGCATAACGTCGAATCGGCAATGTCGAACAAAACGCCACAAAAATTAGCCGCTAATAGCCACGGAAACGCGAGGAATCTGACATGCAAAATTGGGAATTTGAAGAACAAGTTGAAGCAGCTGAAAAGCAGAATGATGAATGCAAAAACCATCACATTAGATCACAAACCTTGTTAGTCTAGCCACAAGCTCTATGATACTCTTGTGCTAACCGGAGCCAAATTTTATCATTGCTGGGTCATTTGAAATCGAGCCAACAGCTCGATTTCAAAGTTACTAAGCTAAAGAAACTTAGCTTCGTAACTAGGCTGTACTTTTATGCTAAATTCTTAAAGAAAGAAGTCCTGAGAAATGGATTTGTCCTAACTTGAATTGGTTCGGCTTGGCTTCTGGCTTCTAGGAACAACCCTGAAAATACACGAGGAATTTTGAGACTTATGGAAAGCTGCTACTACTTCGAGAACAAATTTATCAAAGAACTTTCGAGACTTTTTTCCATTAAAATTACAATTTACACGATTACGAATGAAGCATGTCGAGAGTTTTTAATTCTAGCATAAGACATTTCATTTCATTATGCTTCGATGAGCTCAAAATTTGACATCGTCTCATTCAATTCAACGTTCTCAAGTTTCTCACAATCTGAAGTTTCTCATTTTGTCAATCAAAAAAAAATAAATTATGTTTACTAAAATAATTTAAATCGGAAGTAGTATGGGTGATTGGCCTTCAGTTTCAAAGCACGCACGCAAAGAATTTGTGATAAGAAATTCGAGAGCAGAGCTCTCTTCTCCCCTTCTTTGTTCTTTCGGAATCCGTGAGAGCGTGACGACATTAGAAGATCAGCGACATTAGAAACTTGTTACTATTGGGTTGGTGAATTGAAAATTGCCGAACTTTGAACTAAAATTTATTCAATATAAAACCATAAATTCATTCCAAATAATTTCGATTATTATTGACGGCCTCTGCCCATTTTACAGGCAATTTGCGGATTCCTCTTTCGTGGTAGGATTTTGCTTTTGAATCGAAAAAGTTTCAAAGCCAATTTTTGACTGCTTCTTCCGAATCGAAGTGTTCTCCCGCAAGCTCATTACTCATGATCCGGAATCAATAGTAATCAAAAGGGGCGAGGTCCGGACTGTATGGGGATGTGCCAAAAGTTCCCAAACAAGGTTTTGAAAATCTTTCGGAAAAATAGCTTTTTCTATTCTAGCGTACCAAGAAAACTATTACATCCCAAATTTTCTTATCAAAATTTGTTTGTCAGCAATTTTTTTCGCAAGAATTTCCCCTTTTTGATAGGTGCTATCCCCGTATTTCTTTTGGGTTCTCTACCGTTTTCTGGACAAGTTTGGTTTTTTCTGGCTTTTAGGAACAACCCTGAAAATACACGAGGCATTTTGAGACTTAAGGAAAGCTGCTACTACCTCTAGAACAAATTTATCAAAGAACTTTCAAGACTTTTTTTTCCCTTAAAATCACAATTTGCACGATTACGAATGAAGCATGCTGAGAGTTTTTAATTCTAGCATAAGACATTTCATTTCATTATGCTTCGATGAGCTCAAAATTTGATCATCGTCTTGGTCAATTCAACTTTCTCAAGTTGCTCACAATCTCAATTTCCTCATTTTTTCAATCAGAAAAAAGGAGATTATGTTTACTAAAACAATTTAAATCGGAAGTAGTATGGGTGATTGTCATTTAGTTTCAAGATAAGGCAATGAGGGATCAATTTTTTTAGGTGCACGAATTTTGACCGACGATCGAGACCGAAAGCCGACGAAGTCTGTCAACAATTAGCAGCTCTTCCCCGGGTTAGTTACTCATAAAGCACATTCATCGAACTTTCTGGACCGGAACATCAAGATATCCATCCAACGATCGACGAGTCGAGTCAAGTCTTGATTCGACCAGTTGGTTTTGATGATACCGATGAGCGACAACCAATTAGCGGGACACTTTCTTTTGACCTCTCCATTCCAGATGTGACGACCATCAGCAATTCTTCGGAAGTCAACGCAATATCAAAAAAGAAAGCAAAATAGTAACGAAGGAACACAAACCCGAAAAAGAACAAATGGAAGAAAATGTCGCTGGGGCTCAATTTGAAATAGCAGAAGCTCGAACAAATCGCAGCACAAATCATTCTGAACTTTCCCCACCACCGATCACATCATCTATGTGGCCGTTAGAAGCAGTGCTGCTAAGAAATGCTAACTTTGGTACAAGTTTAGAAGCAAACCAAAAGCTAAACAATTTCAAGATAATTCATCCTGAAGAAAAACCGGTTTTGGCGGATCATAAACTCAAACGAGTCCAAAACCTTTCGAGGATTAGGAAGAATGAGTGATTGTCATTCAGTTTTGTGTGACGCACGCAAAGAATTTGTGATAAGAAATTCGAGGGCAGGGCTCTCTTCTCCCGTTCTTTGTTCTTTCGGAATCCGTGGGACCGGAAGTTCAACGTCATTAGAAGATCAGCGACATCAGAAGATCAGCGACAGTCAAAGCTCATTTGTAATATCTCCTTTTTTAATTTTGATGACTTGTTATTCGTTCTTCAATGGGTTATTCGATGCGTTATGCGTTATTCTCTCACCGCCAAATACAGACGCCCCGTCGACCGTTTCCTTATTAACTCTATTCTGACCACGTACGGATTGGATGCTACTGTTGTCTTCTCATACCGCATGGAAATCTTCTTTCCAATTCGTCCCCGTCCTTTGAAACACATTATTTCTGCAAAACATTGAGCATCAAATCCATTCCACTCATTCCATCGATCACCGCAAGACCCACTACCTTGCTTTGCCGGGTCCACAACGGTTTAACGCTCTGATCCCACGAGGTTCAAAAGGCAATCTCCCGCACACTATGTAACAAAGGACTCTTGGGATCAAACGGGAATTATGGATATTTCCAAAGGCAAAATCGACTGTTGGTTAGGGTTGGAGGTATATTAGAAAATCAACGCAAAACTTCTGAATTCCTAGCACAAAAATGCTGAATAGCGCTGGAGTGATGAGAGCAAGACACAAATTGGTTCACCAACAAACCGGATGATATTCTTGTGCAAAAAGCAACTCATGCAAGCAAACAAAAGAAATCTCAAACCTATTATATAAATTGTTGATCCTTTTCTTTACGTACAAAGTTTTAGATAGCTTGGTGGTCAAAAAAAGTGGCATACATCTTATCGGACTGACCCCGGTTCCTTTCAATTTTGGTCTCGATTTTTGGTTTCATCGCTTGGATTGAAATCCAATATTTAACGATTAAAATTGATACATAATTCTGATGAACCTAAAGTTATTCAAGAACAATGAAGCAATTTCTCATCCTTGTTTCCAGCTACATTAGTTTTACTAACAATAAGTGATAATTGAAAGTCCGGGTAAACATTTCAAAAGCTTGACTCACAATCAAAAAACGATTAGAAGAAAGTTGTTACATACTCTTCTTTTAATTTCTTTTTAATTTAAAATCACCTTGGTTCTGATCTTGTCTTTACTCCAGTCTTCCATTTGTTTTGTGGTCAAGTGTTATCAGTCAGTTCCTCAGAGTCAGATCAAGTGTTATCAGTCAGTTCCTGAGTCTAAAACGCTGACTAATCCGCCAACTAATCCGCCAACTAACCAGCGACTTATTTTCACATATCATATCATCAAATACCGATCACTCATTTAAGTAATAATTTGAATAATTTGTTTGATTTGAGTAATCTTTGTGGGAAATTCGCCGGAGACTTTATGAAACAAAATAGTTTGTATGCAGTTTGTATGCAGTTTGTATGCAGTTTGTATGCAGAATTTTCTTGGGTTCATTTGGAAAACGTGTCACCGATCCAATCCCAGCCCAGTTCTACTTGATACGAAAGCTACAAATTTCCTAATCCTTAACATATTAAGAGATCCGTCGATGGTTAGTTCTTAAGTTGCTTTCTAAAACGTATTAGCTTTATCGTAATCTTCAATTCTACCGTCTACCGTAACCTTACCGCCGGTTTGGTTGAAACCAAATTCAGAGAGAGAAGGGACCAAATTTAGAGAGATAAGGAACCAGAATTCAAGAGATAAGGAACCAGATTTAGAGATATTTAGAGAATCTTGCTTTATTCCTTCACCTCATACTCAAAAACATCGACAAAAACTCGCCTTTCAATTCTTCATTATCCCCAAAAAAAAGTAGCCACACTTTTCTATTCTTAATGTCTTTTTTTCTTGAATTTTTCCGAAACCAAAAGTGCGCCGAAAAGGGGGAAAATGAAGCTCCGCGCCGGATCAATTTTCCCATGCTTTGTGGTTCGAAAGAAAAGCCGGCCAACGGATTTCTCTTTTCAGTAGCTTCTCAATAGGTTAAGGAACGAATAAATTTATACTATGGAGAAAATTGTAAGGTGAAATTGGCTGGCTGAAAAGTTACAACGAGGAACTCTTTTCTGGGTAATTTTGCCCAACCATGTATAATATTCACGGGTTACGTGAGCTATTTTTAGTTAAATGGGAATAAATGGGAATGAAGTCATGGGAGTGGAGTTGGTTACACGAATTGGTGATGATCCTGATTACTCTAATTAGTAAACGGAACCGAGTTGCTGATCTGAAATTTAAAAATCGTAACCTGTTTGTTCGTAGCCTGTTTTCCACCACAATAGTGCAAATTGAAGGTCCGGATCGACATTTTGAAAGGTTTACGCACAATCGTATGGTTTGAAGAAAGTTCTTACATACTTTTAACTTTTTTTCAATTTAAAATCACCTTGGTTTTGATCTTGTCTTTACTCCAGTCTTCCATTTGTTTCTTAATCTCTTTTGTAATAAATAATAGGAAAGTAATCTGATTCAAGGTTGACTCTTGAAACCGAAAAATCTAGAAAACTGAAGAAACCGAAAAATCTAGAAAAAAAGAAACCGAGGATTTGGTGAGCGGTGGTGGCCGAGTGGTAGTTTTAAGTTTTTTCAAACTATTTCTCATAAAAAATGTTTACTTTGAATTATTAACATTGAACAATAAGCATTAAAATTTAAAACATCAAGTTCTCGCGATATTGACGAGACCTGGTTGACCTTTCCTTGTAAGAAAAAAATTTAATGTTATCAGATGCTTATGGCTAGTTGGTAGTGGGATTTAATTAGCTTCTATCTAGGCCAGCGGTGATCAAATATGTCATGTGGTATAATGATGACGGCACTACGAAGCAGAATGCGATGCGTTGCAAAAATGTGACCATCCAAATATCGTTCATTTGATTCGAATTCACAAGGTCGAAAATCGACTAGAACTTGTGCTCTTGTAGGAACTCATGAAGCATGACCTGACGAATATCCGGTCCCGGTGGCAAATTGTCGAGTGCAATAGAAGAAGTGAAGAGAAATACCCAAATTTGTCGGAGCTAGTGAATTTAGGCATCTCATCTTCAAGATATTTATCCTATGTCGTTTGGGAGCTGATAGAAAGAAGGTTTGTTCAGAGCTCTTTGACCTTTACTCGGAAAAAAGGCTAAATGGATGAAAGTGGGTCACTGAGTTAACTAAGTTTAAACTTTCTGAAGCATAAAAACCCCCATTTGCGGGTCTGTATGGTCAGAGTACGAAGCTGATGGCGAATTTCGTTATCATTTCTTTCTCTACAGCTTTTTCGAAGGTGATGTCACAGAATTGGCAGCACCAAACTGCGAACCGAATCTGCAGCAAATAATCACAACGTAATAAGTTAATGCAATAGGCATCAATCTTTTTAGGTGCACGAATTTTGACCGACGATCGAGACCCAAAGCCGACGAAGTCTGTCAACAATTAGCAGCTCTTCCCCGGGTTAGTTACTCATAAAGTCGCTTTCATCGAACTTTCTAGCTTGAACATCAGGATATCCAGCCGACGATCGTCGAGTCGAGTCAAGTCTTGAATCGACCAATTGGTTTTGATGATACCGATGAGCGACAACCAATTAGCGGGACACCTTCTTTTGACCTCTTCATTCCAGCTGTGACGACCATCAGCAATTCCTATTAACCTATTATACAAATTGTTAATCGTTTTCTTTACGTACAAAGTTTTAGATAGCTTGGTGGTCAAAAAAAGTGGCATACATCTTATCGGACTGACCCCGGTTGCTCGCTTTGCAAAAACTGCCCAATCCACTGAAAGAAAGAAAAGCTCAAACTTTTGTAAATAAATATTCGCATCTTGATTATTCTTAGAAAACTTTATCTGATGTATACAGGGTCCGAGAAAAGTATTGCCGCGTCTCTTTGAACTAACTTTTATGCGATTTGAAAGTATCCTTTTACGTTGTGTAAAACATGAATTTTGTCCAGTTTTTTTCCTCTTTTAAATGGTGCATAGCATTCAATGTGTATTTTTAGAATGCAAGCTTAGAAATGCAAGCCCTCATCGAGAAGCGATCGCTATGCTTTTGAAAGCCGGAGGGCCGAAGGCGGCCATCTCGCGAAAGCTCAAAACCAACATCAGGACTGTTCAACGGCTTGCCAAACAATTGCAAGAGAAAGGAAACGCCAAGGAGAAGCCGAGAAAAGGAAGACCTCGATCGGTGAACACGCCAAACATCCGGAAGCTCATCAAACAGCGAATTGACCGAAACGACGAGCAATGGCTTAGGAAAAATGGCCAAGGAGCTGAAAATCTCGGATTGGTCGGTTCGGAACATTGTGAAAAAGGAGCTGGGACTTCGTAGTTATCGTCTGCGACAAGGCCAGTTTCTTACCGATGATGCGAAATTCAATCGAGTTCAAAAAGCTAAGCGGCTTCTTTGTTTTTTTTAAGACGGCACGCATCGAGGACCTCTTGTGGTCAGATGAGAAAATTTTTACCATCGAAGTGGCCCACAATTCCCAAAATCATCGTCAACTGATGTCACCGGTCCAGAAGAACACTTTGAAGCGGAAAATCCGGACACGGGGTCTTTTTCCGAAAGGATTGATGGTTTGGGGAGGAGTGACTGCGGATTCGAAGACTCAGCTTGTTTTCATCGACAAGAGTTGCAAAGTCAATCCCCAGTTTAACCAAGATCAGATTATCAAAAATGCTGTGATCCCCTGGAGTCGAAAAAACCCTAACATGACCTTCCAGCAGGACTGGGCCCCGGCCCATGGAGCGAAAGCCACCATGGACCTGATTCGGCGCGAATTGCCCTCTAATTTCACGAAAGAAGACTGGCCCAGCAACTCGCCGGACCTCAACCCTTGGGATTTTCCAGTATGGGGCTTCTTAGAGGAACGTTTGAGGCATAAGAAAATCGCAAATCTTGGTGAGCTCGAGAGGGAATTGATCGCTGCCTGGAACGATATTGATACCAACTACCTCCGTGCCACCGTCGGCTCAGTGATCACGCGTCTGAAAGCCTGTATCAAAGCCAAGGAGTTCAATTTCGAACACTTGTTATAAATTTGAATTTTTGCTCTTTTATCTGTTATTTTTTTCAATAAATATGTTAAAAGCTCAAATTTGAAAAAAGATTATGATGGTTGGAAAAACAACAATACTTTTCTCGGACCCTGTACAACTTTTAAAATAATCCAACATTGGTGCCAATTTCATTTCACAAACAAGTTCAAATCTAGCAATTCCATTCAATTTTTGTTTCGATTTTTGGTTTCATCGCTTGGATTGAAATCAAATATTTAACGATTAAAATCGATACATAATTCTGATGAACCTAAAGTTATTCAAGAACAATGAAGCAATTTCTCATCCTTGTTTCCAGCCACATTAGCTTTACTAACAATAAGTGATAATAGAAGGTCCGGGTAAACATTCCAAAAGCCTGACTCGCAATCAAACGATTAGAAGAATGTTCTTACATGCTCTTCTTTTAATTTCTTTTTAATTTAAAATCACCTTGATTTTGATCTTATCTTTACTCCAGTCTTCCATTTGTTTTGTGGTCAAGTGTTATCAGTCTATTTCTCGAATGCGTCCGCAACGCTGACAAATCCGTTGACTAAGCAGCGACATATTATCACATAAATTCCGATAACCCCCTCATCAAGTAGCTATTTTTTGGTTTTAGTAATCTTTGAGGGGTTTGGGCGGAGACTTTGTGAAATTGTTCAGTTATTTAGTGGGAGAATGTTTCATGTTTCGTATTCAGTTTCTGGGATCAATTTCGATCTGGCAAAGTCGATCTCATAGTCACCCCGGTTGTGTTTACTTGGTACAATATTGCCTACAATACTTTGGCTTATCCATTTGAATACAAAGTAAGAGATTGTCTAAAGCTACTTTTCATGCTGTTTTCTAAAACATGTCCATGTACATGTAATCTACTGTAATCTTATCGCCAGTTCAGTTAAATCGACTCTTGAAATTTCTTCATCTTACACTCAAAACCATGAAAAAACCTTTGCTTTCCAATTTTTCTTCTTCTAGCCTCTTAAGCATTCTTTTGAATTCATGACACAGAAAGACTTCCTCTTTAACTTTTCATAATCTAGAAAACACTGAAAACAGAAAGCCAGATGATAATGAGACACTCGACAATCTACATGACAATCTTTCTCGTTTTGGGAGCTGCAGCTCCGACATCTGATTCAAATGAGATGTGAGTGTTTATGTTTTAAAGGATCTAGTCAATAAACTAACCAGTATTTAACAGTAAGCAACTAGATCTATTTAAACTTTCACAATTTTTCATAGCCAAATTCTTCGATCATTGTGAGTTGATCTTGCTCTGGTCAGACTACCTTTGAGGGAAATCTTTTTGTTGAAAAAAGTACCTAATACTCCCTGGCCTTTCCTAATTTTTTTGTTATCATCGAGTAGTCGAGGGCCAAATGCAGGTGAGTTTGGCCATTTCTGTGTAAAATGACCAATTTTTTTGATAAAATGCGATTTTAAAAAAATCTACAAGACGGATTTTGATAATTGATAAGATAAAGCATGAAAACCACATGTATCAAAAGCAAAAGTAATTTTGATTTTATTACCAAAAACTCGTTATTAGGCGGTGAACTGAGCCCACAAATCGACGCGGTGCAGGGGAAGATTGAGTTATCGAGTGGAGAAATGTGAGTCGGAAAAGTTTAAATCATAAAGTTTAGATTTTAGTGATGAGCTGAAAAAAAGGGTCGACAATTTGGAGAGCTTAAATGTAGAAAAGAAGAAAGAGAAGTGATTTTATTTGAAGGCTCTTTAATCCTATCAATAGCCTATCAATTCTTCGATCATTTTCAGTAGCAAACTTCAATCAAGAGTTGAGGCTTTAGAGACAAAAATGGAAGAGATCTCGAGCTCAAAATCGAATCATAAGTAAGAAAAGAAGTTTCAACTCACCAAAAAATCAGCATTAATTCAATCTATTTCATCTATTTCAACCTTGCGAATTTTAACTGTGCTTAACTACGTAATTATTCAACTTTATAGGAAAAAGTCCTCCTCATTGTTCCACATCATCCAATGTGGAGGATGGAGCCACTTCAATGGTTCTTGTTATCAAGCCTCTTTTCTCCGAAATGTAGGTTTATCGCGTTTCGGAAAACTATCTTGTTCAACATAGATTCGGACAAACCATTTTAAAGCTATTGCATAAATCCGATATCTTGTCTACTACAGTAAGCTGAATGAAAGTGTTTGAGTGTTGATGAGAAAAGATATTTATTGTCAGTCTTGTTCTGATGATGCATAACTTAAGACTTAGAAATTAGCTTCTGACTTTTCCAGCCATTTCAACGAGAAGCCACATTTGATGAAGCTGAGCGCGTGTGCAGAAATCTAGCTCCAGGAGCCGATTTGATCTCGATTCACAGCAAAGAAGAACAGCGCTTTGTTCACGGTAAATTGAATGCGAATTGTAAAGGGAGATAAATTTCAGAGCTCGTTGTTGAAAAGAGTCATAACTGCTGGATTGGATTGAGGGTAATTTTTACTCAATTAAAACATAAACCCAATTCCAAAGGCAATTTTTCGGAACAGGCCATGTTAGGCTTTGTGTGTGGTCTGGCTCATGACCTTACCTGACTTATAAGCCCTAGGCCGGTGTGAGTGCCTTTGGTCTTCAAACTTTCCTTTGATCATCAGGCTATTCCTAACTCTCCCATTAAGCACACCGCAAACAAATGGATTTGGAATGACGGAACGGAGGTAGATTACACAAATTGGGATGTTGAAGAACCGTCGAATGATCATATGGAGAAATGGGTTCACGTGAGTTTTGACAAAGATTGAAAGTCTAACAAATTTTCTTAGAAAGTTTACAGATTAAGATCTTTCTGTATAAAACCATGCAAGCTTTTTTGAAGTTCGTTTTGTCTCTGAAGAAAAACTTTAGATGAGACCAAATGGTGGAAAATGGAATAACGTGAAAAAAGACTATAAAGCTCTCATTGGATGCAAGAAACCCGTTGGCAAATTGGCTTAAATCGCTTAGAAACCAATAAAATCTTTTGAATGTGCTTCTATTTTTTTCAGTCTACGTCACTCCTACTTGACGTTTTATTTTTCTTCAAAAGAGTTGATCAATTGAGAAATGATCCCCTGGTGAATATTTTAGCATTTTCCGCAAAAGATCGCTTACAAGCTGAGGCGAGAAAATAACAGAAAGTGTAAAAGAGATCTCAGAACAGAAGGTGGCGGAAAAGCTTTTATTTTATGGATTAAACGGTCTAACCATTACTTTCTATATTTTTGTGTTGTGAGCTTTAGCATTCGAACATTCGCACTTTAGCATTCGCAAAGCATTGGCAAATCAAAAGGTAGCTTACAAGCTAAGGCGAGAAAATTGAGCAGATCTAGAGCGAAGCGCAGTTGAATACTGCAAGAAAAGCTTTGAATAATTTCTTAAACTCTTTTGTTTGAAAAGATTGAAAACCTATGTATAAGATGATGGAAATTGAGATTGAACAAATCTAGAGCGAAGCGTTTGATTGCTGAATTTGAAGGAAAACAAACTTTTTTTTAACTTTTTCAGATTTCCTTAAGACATTTTAAACTGAAACCTCCACAAATGAGAAAAGGTCAGTTAGTTCAATCAATCAATCAGCCACCCCTCTTTCTCTGTTTATTGAGTTCTCAGGTGTTGGCCAAAGATGTCACCTGTTAGAAAAGGAAAGCTTGAGAGAAGCTACTTTTGGACTTAGACAAGGTTTTGAGTTAAGATTTTCCGATTTCTTTTCCAAAATCCCCATAAAATCAACCTTGAATCAGACTATTTTCCTTCAAATTTGGCGATCAAACGCTTCTCTCTAGATTTGTTCAATCTCAATTTCCACCATCTTATACATATCTTTTCAATCTTACAAAAGAGATTAAGAAACTATTCAAAGCTTTTCTTGCAGTATCCAAACTTTTCAGATTTTTTTTATTTAATGTACTATATGTGATGAATGTCCGGATATCCAGAGGAATCGATTGGCAATGGAACCTATGGACAAGTCTTTCAACTCGTTGGACACGACCCGTTGGTTTTCAGCCTAAATTTGGATACTCATAGAGACTTTAGATGAATTGATGATAACGATTAATTAACAAAATTTTGCCCAACTCTATGCTTTTTTTGAACTAACAAGTGAAGGTCAATAGGGTGTCGTGACCAAATGACACGAGCCATATACGAGTTGACGCAGGATTTTGCGCTGATTTCGAATCTGATTTCCTTTTTTTGCAACGCCGAACTCTGTCAAAAATTTTAAAATTAAAAATTTTTATTTAAATTAGGAAAAAAGACCCAAGGAAAACATCCCCCCTTTTTCAAAAAGATTTTCCTTAGGTTTTTATTATGTGGTGGGGGGGGTGGGGGGGGGTTTTTTTTTTAAAAAAATAATATAAAATAAAATTTATAATTAAAATAAAAAAAAAAAAAAAAGAGAAATAAAAAAAAAAAAAAGGGGGGTAGGGAAGGGCAGAGACAGGGGGCCACAAAAAAAAAAAAAAAAAAAAAAAAATGATCAGATGCTTATGGCTAGTTGGTAGTAGGATTTAATTAGCTTCAAATAGGTTGTCCCATAAAAAATTGCCGTTTTTCAAAAATTTTTATTTTCAACACAAAATAAAATGTAACAACGTAGATCATACAATATATTTTCCATGATTATTATAGACATTTAACCAACGTTTTGGTAACTTTTCAAGTCCCCGCTTGTGAAAATCGGGTTGTCGTGAAAGAAAGTAGTCCTCCAATTCGTCCTTGAGGTCACCTTGGTTGTTGAATTGCTTGCCTCGAAGGAAATCCTTTAGCGACAAAAATAAGTAATAATCAGAAGGAGCAATATCCGGGCTATAAGCGGGATGTGAAAGTACATTCCAGTGCAAATTGTTTTCCATAAAATTCTTCGATTTGCTCGATTTGTGAGAAGGAGCGTTGTCTTCAAGCACAAAAGCGGGACCATTCCATTCATTCTGATAGAGCAATCGGAGAATTTTCTGCTCCAATTTGTGGCATATGGCGTATATAAACATCACTGTTAAAAGTTTGACCCTTCTGGAGGAGCTCCCAAAAAGTATGCCAGAGCAACACCAATAGACACACAGAAGTCGCTTATTCCCATGAATATTTCGTTTTGGCACCACTTTTCCCAACCATTGTCGTTTCAACACTCGACTATCATAGAAGATCCACGATTGATCATGAGTCACTATATTGGAAAGAGGATGCTGACCGCATCGATATTCGTTCAGTAGTTGACGGCATGACCGCGCTCTCTGGTCCTTAATCGAATTGTTCAGTTGATAGGGAATTTGCCGCTGTTTCAACCACTTTCTTCTGGTTTTTTTGAGCCAACGCCATACTGTCATTCTTCCGCAATAGTCTTGTGCCAAAATCCGAGTCGATCCTTCGAGATTTTGCCGGAGTCGGCGCCTCAACGTCTGTCGATTCACTTTTCTGGAACGACCGCTTCCTCGCTTTCGTGTGAGCCTTTTCGGAACTTCTGAAACCACCATCGTGCAGTCCTTTCCTTGACGATTGTTGCTCCATAAAAAGAATTGATTTCTCTCGTTGCTTTGGCCGCTGAAATCCTCTTCAAATATCGTTCATTCAGGTGTTGATCGCCATTTGATCGATCGCAACTTTTTCTGTTTTTGGTTTCTAAAAAAGAAAATTTAGCACATAAAACTAGAATTGTAAAGCAGTATAATAAAAAAAACAGAAAGAGAAAGTGTTAATTTGACGCTGAATACGAATCAAATAAAAAAAACGGCAATTTTTTATGGGACAACCGAATATCTAGGTCAGCGGTGATCAAATATGTCATGTGGTATAATGATGAGTCTCGACGGCACTACGAAGCAGAATGCGATGCGTTGCAAAAATGTGACCATCCAAATATCGTTCATTTGATTCGGATTCACAAGGTCGAAAATTCGACTAGACTCGGCCTCGTAATGGAGTATTGTGATCGAGGATCGCTGAAAACATGTTTGTTCTTTCAGATTTCAAAGACCAATCCGATTCTTTAGTGATCCTTAATCCGACCATCATTTCCACCATTCGCTCAGTCATCTCGTGGAGCCAACAACTCTTTGGAGCACTCGATTACATGTACCAAACTTTCAATATCATCCATCGTGATATCAAACCTACCAAGTTGGTCTATCGGTTGATGTTTATTTAAGAAGACAATTGTGATTAAATGTTCTGATCAGTTTAACAACCACTAGTCGAATTTTTAACTTTAGCCATTCATTGAAGCATCGTGTGTTGTTGCGTGCTAAGCTTTTGCGTTTAAGGTAGCACGTTTGGCGAACATTCAACTTCAAACGGAAATTCATAGTTTATGTGTATTTAGTATCTTCGTCACAAATGATTTCACTTTGAAAGTCGGCGATTTCGGATTGGCAAAGGTGGCGGTTGAGACGATGAGCGGGACTTTTATTGGAAGCTATCGATATATGAGTCCGACAAGACCTGACTACGATGCTCGGGTTTGTTAGACTCACTTTGGTCCCTAACACCAGTAGATCTACATTTGTCTAAACTGTCTAAACCCAAATTTGTCGGAGCTAGTAAATTTAGGCATCTCATCTTCATGATATTTATGCTATGGGCCTTGTCGTTTGGGAGCTGATAGAAAGAAGGTTTGTTTCGAGCTTTTTGAGCTTTACTCGGAAGAAAGACTAAATGCAAGAAAGTGGGTCACTGAGTTAACTAACCAGGGAACCTGCCGAAGTTACCCGTGAGTTACAATATGAGGTAGGTGCCAAAAGAAAGGCCTGAAAATGTACGTTCAGAAACCGTTTTCAAATCGGCAAAACGCACAAAGTTACAGCCATTTGAATTTCGAACAAATGAAGGCTTTTCTCGAATTTCTGGCACGTTTTGCCGTTTTGCCGATTAGCGGTTTTTGAAAACAGTTTCTGAACGTACATTTCCAGGCCTTTCTTTTGGCACCTACCTCATATTGTAACTCGCGGGCAACTTGGGAAGGTTCCCTGGTAAGTTAAAACTTTCTGAAGCATAAAAACCCCTATTTGCAGGGCTGTATGGTCAGAGTACGAAGCTGATGGCGAATTTCGTTATCATTTCTTTCTCTACAGCTTTTTCGAAGGTCATATCACGGAATTGGCGACACCAAACTGCCAATCGAATCTGCAGCAAATAATCAAAAGGTAATAAGATAAGGCAATGAGGGATCAATTTTTTTAGGTGCACGAATTTTGACCGACGATCGAGACCGAAAGCCGACGAAGTCTGTCAACAATTAGCAGCTCTTCCCCGGGTTAGTTACTCATAAAGCCACATTCATCGAACTTTCTAGCTTGAACATCAAGATATCCATCCAACGATCGACGAGTCGAGTCAAGTCTTGATTCGACCAGTTGGTTTTGATGATACCGATGAGCGACAACCAATTAGCGGGACACTTTCTTTTGACCTCTCCATTCCAGATGTGACGACCATCAGCAATTCTTCGGAAGTCAACGCAATATCAAAAAAAGAAAGCAAAATAGCAACGATGGAACACAAAACCGAAGAAGAAAAAAATGCCGCTGTGGTTCAATTTGAAATAGCAGAAGCTCAAACAAATCGCAGCACAAATCATTCTGAGCTTTCGTCACCACCCTTCACATTATCTATGAGGCCGTTAGAAGCAGTGCTGCTAAGAAATGCTAACTTTGGTACAGGTTTAGAAGCAAAACAAAAGCCAAAAAATTTCAAGATGTCTCATCTTGAAGAAAATCCCGTTTTGGCGGATCAGAAACCTAAACGAGTCCAAAACTTCTGCCGCTTTCCAATTTTGATTCTAATTGTGCTGCCAATTGTGCTGCTCATTGGGCTGGCGATATTTGGAGGTGCATATTATGCTTTCGTGGTCTCAACACCAGTCACAATTCTTGTCGATGGAACACCACTGCCTACTGGTGCAAGCGGAAGACACGTTGGACCAGAAGGTGAACCGGTGCCAACCAACGCCAATGGATCGCCCGTTGATTCCGGTGGTGAATTTTTGCCGACTGACGGCAAGGGACATCATGTCTTCGTTGGAGCTGCCGAACCGAAAGTAACGAGCAAGGTGTTGAACCCGAATGAGATGAGACAGGTAGAACCTACCGATGAGACGGGTAGAACCCGAATCCCAGTTGTTTGGCCTAATGGAACGTTGCTTGCCACTGATTCAACTGGAGAGTACATTCTTGACGACGGCACTCCAATTTCACGTGACGACGAGGGCAAGCCTATTGGATTTGATGGAGAGGTTCTGCCAACCGACAGCTCCGGTCAATGGGTGCTTGTTACCCCAGAACCAGAAACCGAAACCACGACAGCTACGAAACAAATCATTGTCGTTCGGGGACAAGATCAGACTCCATTGCCGACGGATGAATCTGGAGCGCCGCTTGATCCAGAGGGACAACCATTGGCCACCGATGAGCAAGGGCGCCCGCTTTCTCCAGCTGGCGAGGTGCTGCCAACTGATGATGAGGGGCGCTATGTGTTTGTGCCAACTTACCCAATTTATTCCCCAGTTGCTTGGCCTAATGGAACGTTGCTTGCCACTGATTCAACTGGAGAGTACATTCTTGACGACGGCACTGATTATCAGAGGATCAGAGTTAGTTTTGATTTTCTTGGACTGAATTATCCAATCAGGCTTTATTTGGTATCATTTGAAAGCCTGAAATGTCCTCTGTATGACAATATAAAGAGTTAACAAAAATATTAGCTTAAATAAAATTTTAGTCGCGCTTAATTACGAAATTATTCAACTTTATAGAAAACAGATTATATATAGGAAAACCTCCTCCCTTCATTGCAAGACGCCGTCCTCCGCTTCGACATTTGGCAATGTGGCCAAGGATGGAGCCATTTCAATGGTTCTTGTTATCAGCCCTCTTATTTCCAAAAGCATGTAGGTTTATCGCGTTTCGGAAAACTATCTTGTCCAAAATAGATTCGGACAAACCATTTTAAAGCTATTGCATATCTTGTCTACTACAGGGTCCGAGAAAAGTATTGTCGTTTTTCCAACCTCCATATCTTTTTTCAAAATTAAGCTTTTAACATATTTATTGAAAAAAAGAACAGATAAATACCCAAAATTCCAACTTTATAACAAGTGTTCGAAATTGAACCCCTTTGATACAGGCTTTCAGACGCGGGATCACTGAGCCGACGGTGGCACGGAGGTAGTTGGTATCAATATCATTCTAGGCAGCGATCAATTCCCTCTCGAGCTCACCAAGATTTGCGATTTTCTTATGCCTCAAACGTTCCTCTAAGAAGCCCCATACCGAAAAATCCCAAGGGTTGAGGTCCGGCGAGTTGCTGGGCCAGTCTTCTTTCGTGAAATGAGAGGGCAATTCGCGCCGAATCAGGTCCATTGTGGCTCTCGCTCCATGGGCCGGGGCCCAGTCCTGCTGGAAGGTCATGTTAGGGTTTTTTCGACTCCAGGGGATCACAGCATTTTTGATAATCTGATCTTGGTTAAACCTGGCAATGACTTTGCAACTCTTGTCGATGAAAACAAGCGGAGTCTTCGAATCCGCAGTCACTCCTCCCCAAACCATCAATCCTTTCGGAAAAAGACCCCGTGTCCGGATTTTCCGCTTCAAAGTGTTCTTCTGGACCGGTGACATCAGTTAACGATGATTTTGGGAATTGTGGACCACTTCAATGGTAAAAATTTTCTCATCTGATCACAAGACGTCCTCGATGCGCGATGCGCGTCCTCGATGAAAAAAACAAAGGAGTCTTGGCTGGCTCTTTGAACTCGATTGAATTTCGCATCATCGGTAAGAAACTGGCCTTGTCGCAGACGATAACTACGAAGTCCCAGCTCCTTTTTCACAATGTTCCGAACCGACCAATCCGAGATTTTCAGCTCCTTAGCCATTTTTCCTAAGCTTCGCTCGTCGTTTCGATCAATTCGCTGTTTGATGAGCTTCCGGATGTTTGGCGTGTTCACCGATCGAGGTATTCCTTTTCTCGGCTTCTCCTTGACGTGTCCTTTCTCTTGCAATTGTTTGACAAGCCGTTGAACAGTTCTGATGTTGGTTTTGAGCTTTCGCGAGATGGCCGCCTTCGACTCTCCGGCTTTCAAAAGCATGGCGATCGCTTCTCGATGAGGGCTTGCTTTTCTAAGCTTGCATTCTAAAAATACACATTGAATGCATGTTTTACACAACGTAAAAGGATACTTTCAAATCGCATAAAAGTTAGTTCAAAGAGACGCGGCAATACTTTTCTCGGACCCTGTAGAGCAAGCTAAATGAAAGTGTTTGAGTGTTGATGAGAAAAGATATTTATTGTCAGTCTTGTTCTGATGATGCATAACTTAAGACTTAGAAATTAGCTTCTGACTTTTCCAGCCATTTCAACAAGAAGCCACATTTGATGAAGCTGAGCGCGTGTGCAGAAATCTAGCTCCAGGAGCCAATTTGATCTCGATTCACAGCAAAGAAGAACAGGGATTTGTTCACGGTAAATTGAATGCGAATTGTAAAGGGAAATAAATTTCAGAGCTTGTTGTTGAAAATAATCATGACTGCTGGATTGGATTGAGGGTAATTTTTACTCAAGTTAAACATAAACCAAAGTGATCTGGTCCATGACTTTACCTAAATTATAAGCCCTAAGGCCGGTGTGAGTGCCTTTGACCTTCAAACTTTCCTTTGATCATCAGATTATTTCTAACTCTCCGATTAAGCATCTCGAAAACAAATGGATTTGGAATGACGGAACGAAGGTAGATTACACAAATTGGGATGCCGCAAATGGAGAACCGTCGAATGTGAACATAGAGAAATGGGTTTACGTGAGTTTTGGCAAAGATTGAAAGTCTAGCAAATTTTCTTAGAAAGTTTACAGATTAAGATTTTTCTGTATAAAACCATACAAGCTTTTTTGAAGTTCGTTTTGTCTCTGAAGAAAAACTTTAGATGAGACCAAATGGTGGAAAATGGAATAACGTGAAAAAAGACTATAAAGCTCTCATTGGATGCAAGAAACCCGTTGGCAAATTGTCTCAAATCGCTTAGAAACCAATAAAATCTTTCGAAAGTTCTTCTATTTTTTTCAGTCTACGTCACTCCTACTTGACGTTTTATTTCTATTCTAAAGAGTTGATTAATTTGAAAATGATCTTTGGTGAATATTTTAGCATTTTCCGCAAAAGATCGCTTACAAGCTGAGGCGAGCAAGCTTTGCTCAAGTTTGCTCAAGCTCAAGAGCCCAAAAATTCCAAATCAGTCGGCTATTGAATAAAGTGTCTTAGTTCAAGTGAGATCAGATATCTCGAAACAAGAAATAACGTGTCTTGAGTGAAGAGTACCAAGCACGCAAAGAATATTTCTTTATACCTTAGTAATTTTTTGGGAAAAAGTGAACGGTAACTGAGCATGAATTTTCTCGGCATGAAGGCATGGATTATACTTTTTTTGTTAGACTCTGACTCTGGTCCGAGTCTAGACTGCTCAGCTTTCCCTGGCTTTTCTCAAAATACTGTTCAAGTCTAACCCAACCAGTACAGAGTGCAGCAGAGTTCTGGAAACTAAAACTCTTGAGTCTAACTCAGTTCGCGATGCCTCAAATGAAATCATTCTTTTTTTTGTTAGTTCTTCTGAGTTGTTTGCTTCAAAGAATATTTCTTTACAGTCCGGACGGACGCTTTGTCGGATTCGAACGTAACATATACAAAAAGTTTCTTTATTAGAGTATTTAATAAGATTTGTCAAGTTTGAAACAGTGAAAACATTGAAAAAAACAGTGAAATGAAATTTTGAACTGAAAAAAGACTACTTTCTAGAGAATTACATTGTAGAAATGAATCGATGATCAGAAGAAAGTCATCCAAATTGAGAAAAATCCCATCAAAATGAGCGACGACCACGAAATCTCACTTTTAGTGCTTTTTGAAGTGATAGTCTCATTCTAAAAGTTGTTTTTTTTTACGTTTTCTTCTACCTATCGTGTTAAACGTGTGCCAAAGTTAACAGTATTCTTACCAAATTGCACAAATCCGTGTCGCAACAACGGAAGATTAATTTGAAACCATAATCTACCATATATTCCTTTTCGACTTCCTAGAAAGACAGATTTCCTAGTTTTTAACGTTTCCTAGAGGCAGTAAAACGAAATGACAAACAATAAAATTGAAATTTATCAAATAAACGGAGCACCCACCTTTCCTTCGCATTCCATCTCTCCACACCCTTTCATGACCACAGTTTCATTCTGAATCTCCTCATGACCGAAAAAACAATATTTCTCCTGTGGTCCACAATCAATCATGGTAGCCGATGAATCCTGGAAGAAAGATATGATTTAAATTCTGCGCATGATTAAACATCTTTTAAGTTATTGGGTTGGTGAATTAAAGCTGCCGGACTTTGAACTAAAATTTATTCAACGTAAAAACATGAATTCATTCCAAATAATTTCCATTATTATTTACGACTTCTGCCAATTTTACAGGCAATTTGCGGATTCCTCTTTCGTAGTAGGATTTTGGTTTGTGAGACAAGTGTGAGACTCAAAAATCGAGGACTGGAGAGGAGGATGGAGTACTCCCAGTTTGAGCACTTTCTTCAAAAGAAACCCATTTTGGTGTCAATAGAAAAGTTGTAGAGAATCAAAAATTAGGCTTATAGCCAAATTTCCAAAAAGATACACTTAGTAGTTTTGCTTAAAATGCAAGTTTTGTGAAAATTGGTAAATTTGGCATTTCTTGAAAATCAGTTTTTGAATCGTTCTGAAAATTTGGATATAAGCTTCATTTTTGATTCTCTACAACTTTTCCATTGACACCAAAATGGGTTTCTTTTAAAGAAAGTGCTCAAACTGTCACATATGACAATATCCGGCAGTTTTTCACCAGCCCAATATTTAAGCGCATTGTTATCATTGCGGTTTGCGGAAAGTTTCCAGATTTCTTGCCAGACTTGGCTGACCAATTGACATTTTGCTGGCTATTGTAGATACCAAGATACTCACTGGCCCATCAGTAGCAGCATCGTGGTAGTAACAATTTATTGCCTGAACTTGATCATTTGCAAGCAGTGCTAGGAAAATGAAGAGAATAAGGTCCATTTGACGATTGATGGGGATCTTTTCAAAGAGATCTGTAACTTTTTGATTTCAATCCAATGAATATTGAGATTTTATTTTTTAACCAGCCGAGAAACCCGTCTAACGGCGGCTTTTTCTCAATGTTTTGAGGATCGACGGCTTTTGTCGCCGTGGAGCAGTGGATAGCGCGCCGGCCTATCGCCCATACAATCCGGGTTCGCCCTCCCCGTGCGACTCGAATTGTGCTTTTTAAACAATCCAAAAGCACCTTGCACAACTACATAGAATTCCCTATCCAACAGCGCAAAAATCATTGCAAACGGTCCTCTGGGGGCTGAGGAGTAGCGCGCACAGACAGACGGAGAGACAGACAGACAGACGGAGAGACAGACAGACAGACGGATAGGCAGACAGACAGACAGACAGACGGAGAGACAGACAGACAGACAGACAGACGGACAGACAGACCGACAGACAGACCGACCGACAGACCGACAGACGGACAGACGGACAGGCGGACAGGCAGGCAGGCAGGCAGACAGACGGAGAGACAGACAGACGGACAGACGGAGAGACGGGCAGACAGACGGACATGCAGGCAGGCAGACAGGCAGACAGACGGACAGACAGACAGACAGGCAGGCAGGCAGACAGATAGACGGACGTCTTAGCCCCTTTATATATCGTTGATTCTAAATTTTAAAAGAACTCTGAAAGAATTTTAAGAATTTCAAACGAATTTTAAATTTTTGATTTCAAAAGAGGCAAAAGGGGCGGAGTGACCAATTGACCTCAAAGAGAAGACGATCAAGTTGGAAATTTAATAAAAATAAAGAGTTCGAAAAGTTGAAAGGAGGAAAATGGAACTTGCGACATCTATTTTGACTGAGAAATGACTAACCAAAATTCACATTGAATTCTCCGTTTGAAATTTACGGAGTTTTGTCACCTTTCAAATTTAAACAAACAAGAAAATGAACAAGAAAATGAACAAGAAAATGAACTGCTTTTTTCACCTTAAGTCGAATCTTTGCTTCTGATGTGATGAGTTATTGTAAAGTAAACTACACTAGCTTTTCTTGGTACAAACAGATTGTTGCGTCTGCAGAGATTGTATCGAAAGTGATTTCAAAAGTGGTAAACTTCTTGTTTCTTAAATTGTTTACGTAAGCATAAGCTATTTATTCATATTGATATCAAATGATCGATGATCAAACAAAAAATGATCAATGCCTCTCGAAGCGACGGCAATTTCAGTGCTTGGAGATGAGATTGTGGACATTTGATACTCGCCCCGCCCCTTTTCCCATTAGCAATCTAACTTTGAGCTTAAATATCTTGGTGTTTGGCTGTCCAATTGAATTGGTTTGGACCAATCGATAGAGAAAGAATTGGCGCATCTAATGATACAAAGAACATTTAAATTGGACAGCCCAACACCAAGAAATTTGAGCTCAAAGTTAGATTGCCAATGGCAAAAGGGGCGGGGCGCCGTTCCTTTTATAGGCGCCCCGCCCCTTTCCCCATTAGCAATCTAACTTTGAGCTCAAATATCTTGTTGTTGGGTGGTCCAATTTGAATCGTTTTTGTACCAATCGACAGAGCTAGACAGTGCTATAAAACCAGGGTCGCTCCAAGATTGTGTGACCTTTTAAACACGCCCCGCTCCTGTTCCCATTAGCAATTTAACTTTGAGCTTAAATATCTTGGTGTTGGGCTGTCCAATTTAATTGGTTTTTATACCAATCGATAGAGAAAAACTTGGCGCATCTAATGATACAAAGAACATTTAAATTGGACAGCCCAACACCAAGAAATTTGAGCCCAAAGTTAGATTGCCAATGGCAAAAGGGGCGGGACTTGGAACAAATGCCCGATAACCTGCAGATCCTTTCTGAAAACCAATTTTTCCAGAATAGGGGGAATTTCTATGTCTTTTGCATGTGTGATTTTGTTTTATATGTAAAGTGTTCCAAACAGGCTTGAAGTTTCAAGCATAATGCATAAAAGTCACTATGCAATACATCTAGATCAAAGCTTAGTGTCAAAAGCCAGTATTAATTGCTTACGAATTGCACAAGCCCGTGACTATCATCTCAATGACTTTCGTAGACTGCTTTTTGATTCATTTTTCGTAATAAGTGTTTCATTTTTGAGAAGTTGAGAGAAGCAGATGATGAAAATGATAACTGTTTAGACTGGGAAAAATGACCAGAATCAAAGTAAACACAAATTTTTCTTTAAAAGTCAAAAAAGATGCGTCACCTTTGATAAAAAGCAGAAAAGCATTGAAGCAAGAGCGTTTAATTTCAATAGAAATTGGTGAGCATTCAATAGAAATTAGTACTAATAGAAATTCATTGGTAATCGATGACAAGAACTCGAGCCTAGATTCGGTTTTGGATTTTTTTCGAATACTAAATTCAAACTCGATCCAGACTTTAACTCAATTTAATACTCAGACTCAAGCTAAGGAGCGGATGTTCGTAAAAAACAAAAGCTGACCGGTCAAGCGAAACCAAGCCAAATTCGGGTCACACCTAGGCCTTGAAAAGCCACGAAAAAAGCGGAGGCTAGTTGTAAGCTGTAGCCTGAAGATTTTAGGCTAGAAGTAGTCCAATAATAGTGCCAAAATAGTAAGTTTGTTGTTTTAAAAGCACTTTGAATTTAAAAAATTTCTTTATTTACACTTGTAAACATCATTAAAAATTTTAGCGGCTCCTTTACCAGCTCGAGCATTTTATTGAGTATGGTGCTCGTGTTATTCTCGTCGTAGATTCTTATTGATTTTTCCTAAATGGCATAATCGTTCTTAACTTGTTCTTACAACGGTCCCAACTTGAAGTTCGATATCGATTTGAGTTTGAGATTTGGGATTTGAGTTCGATATCGATAACGATAACGATATCATCTATAGCCTCAACCTTTTTGAGTTTAAAACTCTTAGGCACTGCCGCCTGGTCACGGAGTTAGCTGAATGCTTCAAAATCGTTAAATTCAAACATTCTAGTCCTCTTCTGTAATTTTTTAAAACTCAACATCTTGACCGATCAAGGTGAGGTTCATTTCTTTTGAAAATTCCGATTACCTCAAATAACTTTTTGTCTAATTCTTTCTCAATCAGGGCTGCGAGATTGTGGAATTTACTATAGAAAAACTTAAGAGAATGCAACAGCCTTAAGTCCTTTAAAAAATTAATAAATAATCTAGATTTCTCTTCTCTTGTGGGTAATTGATTGGTTTTCATATATTCTGTAATGCAATTTTTCTTTGCCATTAATTTCCATGTCTCTCAAGGAATCGGGGATTAAAAAAAATACCGACTGGGGCTACCAGTGGTGAATTTATCGCATACACGAAATATATCAATCACAATACAACGACACACACAATACTAGGCTATATCTTAACTTAACCCACGTCATGACAGACGGCTCCCTAACCCTAAGCTCAATGGGGAACTAAATAGCTTTTTTGGTGGTGAAGGGAAGATGACGATGAAGGAGTGGCTTGTCACTTTAAAGAACTGGGGCCACAACCACCAGACTGCCCTCCAGAAAACCTCTCAACCCGAAGGGAAAGGAAATCCGAAGGGGGTGACCATGTCGCATGTGGGGTTCGAACCCTCGACCTTCCGATTAAGATAAAAGACACTTAACCAGTCAGCCACACGTGCTATTAGACATGGGAAATCGGATTGGGTTGGATCGGGTCAGATTGGATCGTCCAAAGTTGACCCGATCCGACCCGAAAAATTTGAATTTTCGGATTAACCCGAAACGACTCGATCCGGTTGGAAGATGGAAAGAATTGTCATTGTCAAAAGAGGCAAGATATGAATAGAGGTCTGCTTACAAACGTTGAAAGGTAATCGAGCAAGATTCAACAATGAAAAACGGGTCAATCAATGAAAACGACCCGCAAAATTGGAATTTTTGCGTTGATCCGACCCGATCCGACCGACCCAAATAAATTGAATTTTCGGGTTGGCCCGACTTGACCCGACTTGATCCGACCCGAAGCCTCTCGGGTTTGGGATTGCCCCGACCTGGCCTCGATCCAACAAAGACCCAATTCCCATGTCTAGTGTGTATTGTGTATTGAACTGTGTACTTCTGTGTATTGAAAAAGCTTTTTCACTTTACTTCATGCCTTGAATAAAGTATCTATATGTTACGTCCGATCTAGACTGATTCTTCACTTCACTCTAGAGCGGACGTCGGATCTAGAGTGAAGCGAGATCAAACGTTCGATCTAGAATCAAGCCGCTCACTCTAAAGCAGACGTCCGATCCAGACTTAGATTTAGAGTCATCGGCTTGATCCTAGATCGGACGTTTGACCTGACTTCACTCTAGATTGGACGTCCGAGAATCAGTCTAGATGGGACGGATTTCTTGATAGGACGTAACATATATATGTCGTAGCCAAAAAGGTTTGAAACTTCTTCAGCTAGCCGTAAAGGTTTGAAACCTAATCGGCTAGCCGAAAAGGTTTCAAACCATATCGGCTAGCTGAAGAAGTTTCAGACTCATTTCTCATTTCTCTTTTTTGAATTCCCTTGCCTCTATCTTATTTCTTGATCTCAATTTGATCATCTTTCTTATTTTTCAATTTCCAATCGATGACCATGATGATAAAACCGTTCATCTTGAAATACGGAATCTGCCTTTGAAGCTGTAACTTTGATGTTTTGACTCGAATTTTGCTTTGTGGTGAGTCTTGTGGTGGTGAAACACCTCCATCGTCATGTGCATTGTTCTTTTTGAAAACCCGAGCATCCACCCCCATGAACACGTGAACTTAATTTGAATCCTAGATATGAAGAGCTGTTATTGTGAACTGAAACAGCACAAAAGCTTCCATTGTTCACAACAAAAAGCTTCTATTTTTTGGCACGAAACCCAATTGATCGGAGTGCATCGAAACGAAAATCCCTCCACAACTCAGCATCGTTTCAAAATGTATAAATGTGAAAATTCACTGTGGAAAGTACATCTTTTGGTTTACATTTGATCATTT